TATAATAAAATTATTTAAGATGAATTTCAAGTGTTACACGAAATAGTCATAATTTTATATATTTCGACAATATATAACATTATAACTATTTCATCAAGACTATTATCTAACTTTTAGGAGTGATTCAATGATTGGATTTGACCTTTGGTAATACACATGTCTCTAAGTTCAATCTCACAAGAACAAGCCATTCTTATTCCTTCAAGAACACGCTCTAACTCGACTCAAATCACGGTGATCAATCACTAAATTTAAGAGTAATCAACATAATCTCATACACCTACTAAAAAAAAAAAAACAAGCATGACCACCATCTTACAACTTAACTTAGGAAAACAACAAAAGATTGGCTTTAAAAGATGGTCAAAAGCAATTTATTTAAGGCTTATTTATTACAAAAGTTCAGGTACAAAGATTGTTTATTGATTAGACAGTTCTGGTTTATATGATTACATGCACTATCTATGTGATAAAGTTGAACTATTCAATATATTAATTGGCTTGTAAAAAAGAACCCATTTTGGATATTAAATTCGTGATGATTAAAACGGGTTCAACCTAATCCCAAACAATAGTTTCTTAGGTTAGAGACCCATACACATACATGAATCATCTTCATAGTTTTTCATCATTCTTTTTAGTGTAGTAAACTATGACAATTCAGCACATAAAAAGATTCAAAGCAATGGTAAGTATTCAGCTCAAGCAGTTCGCTATATGTTTGAGTTGAAGAGTTAATTTTCAAAATATGAATAAAGTAGTTTATCGTTCATCTTTTTCATACTTCCAATAAGCAAAAACTTGATATACCTAGTACAATTTAAGTACTAAATATAAGAATCAGATTCAAAGTAATGACAAATATTGAATTCAAGTGGTTTCATCGTATGTTTGAGTTTAAGAATCAATTTCCAAAGTATAAATAAAATAGTCTATCGTTCACTTTATTCAAACTCTCAATAAGCAAAAATTTAACGAACTAAGTACAATTTATATACTAAAATATGAAACTATTTTTTGAATTTTAATGTGCTTTTAACTTACAATAAGATGCATCCATCTTTCTGAAAGAATCTGTGGGAGTTGCCAGTTGCCATAGTTTCTTTTAATAAACTTATAATGTGATATTATGAGTAATACACCCCACTTTGAAAAGAAAACTGTAAAGAGTGATGAATCAAACATGGGGATAAGCTTTTACGGATTAATATGCTCTTTTTTCCTTATTGGAATCAAAGCAGGGATGATGGAATCTGGGCAACAGTTACATATTGCTTCCCACTTTGCAGTAGTTTTATGCTTTTGAGGTGCATAAACGTGGCATATTTGGCTAATGGCAATTTAAATCTTCTAGCTTAAGTCAATTCGGGTGTCTTTCTAATCTTTTTAGACTTTTACGATACATGTATTTTCTTTGACAGACCAATGACCATTGCTTGCTCCAATAATAGCTTTAGACACAACAATGGCATATCCTTGGGTGGCACTTGGCAGTAGAATAATAGAAACTAATTGTGACGGTTTACAACAAAGAAAACTACGTCAGAACCTCACTTCTATGATTTAGAGAGGCCATAGCCACCCACACATATGAGCTTTTGTCAAAGTAGTGTGGAGCCCAAAGTCATCCCTTCTTTTCTGGCTTGGGGTTAGGTCAGGGGTCGGGTCATAGTCTTCTTAGAGTTTCTTTCTTTTTCTTTTTCGTTTTTTTGTTTGGCATTATTCCAGGAGAAAGGGATAATGAAGTTTGAATTCACAATCTTAAAGTCCAACAACAAAGACAATAATCATTAGACTAACGTTTAACCTCATTGTCTTATATTAGAGTTAGAGCTTCATTTAACAAATCAGTTTAACTTGAACAACAAAAAGTACCCCCAGGAATGGATTATTATCACTCCCGGTGTATTTTTACTTAGTTTTTCTTAATAAAAGGCCACTCATCATAGAATGAGTTGAGACTCGATATATAAATGCGTCACACAAAAATACAATAAGTAATTTTTTCTCGAGAAAAAAAGAAGAGCAACTCAAACACGAGTCTCTCATCGATGGAAGGTCTTAAGAGATGATTTTTAAACATTCTTAACACATTTGCAGAACAATTATTTCTGTAACTGGTCACAATGGAGCAGTCAATGTTAAACACTTCTCACAATGGCTTCCGGATATTATGATGTATCCATGCCATGAAAAGCTCACCATATAAATCACACTCTAATCCATGGTTTTAAGGGTAGGTTTGGTCATGTCATGTGGGCCGTGGACCGGGTCATTTTCTGTTGGAATTTTGGGTCCATCAGTTAGGCGAATGCCTTCAGTTTCTTGTCCTTTTGTGGCCAATGTTTGAGGTATTATCGGGGGTCGTTGTGATTCTAATTTTATTTGAAACGTTAGCTTCTTTTAATTTTTTGAAGGGTTCAAAAGGGGAAGGATCAAAGGAAAGAGAAGGACCCATCTGATGATCTGACATTTTAATTTCAGGCTTGAGTTTAAAAGCCATTATATTTTATGGACCATCATTGCTTCTTATGGTGGTTGTACTTGAATGACTATACCCACATCCATATAATAATAATAACAATAATAATAATAAAAAAAACCAGTAGTGCAGGACAGAGGGAAAATGTCCTTTACTAGTTTCAGCTGTTGATGGACATGTGTGGAAAATAAGCAAATCAACACTTAAAAAGAATAGTTAAACAAGTTAAGGTATGAGTTGTAACCTTTCATTTCCCGGGGTTCGAATTTTGAAAATTCTTTTTAGGATTAAGTCAAGTTATAAGAGATTTATGTTTTATAAATATCTTAACTTAATTTTGGTGTAGATAATTTATCTTTTAACCGGATCGAGAAAGGGATCAATCGAAGTACATATAAACTGATTCAGCCATTCAAATACCCCTAATTGTTGACCCAAAAACAAAGGATAGAATAATTAAATTTAATTGTGACATCATTATCATCACGTAATATTATTATTTAATAGAGTCAAATAGATTTTATCCAATTTGATAACTTACCCTATATCTAATGCAATAATTACCTTATATATAGAAATGAGTTCATTTTATTCACTTGGTTATTTATTATTAATTGTTAATATCATGTGATAATGATAATGTAATATTATTATTACATTAAATATTTACTCGGAGATATGAAGTAGATGAGAAGATAAATAAGATAAAATGTTTAAGTTATGAAATTAACATTACTGCAGGCAATAGTAAAACAATATAAATCGAATTTTATCTAAATCTTATAATAATAAAATTGTCAAATCCTGTCTAAATCTTATAATAATAAGAATCTCATACATTGGACCATTTTCATATAAAACAAATCCCTTCAGAAACAACTTGTCCCATTATGGCATTACGTATTACTTCCTCCCTCCAAAGAATACCAAACATCAAAAAATTTAAAATTAAAAAAAAAAAAAAAGGGTTTGCTTGAACCTGTATCACATTTTAAACTGACCTGTCCATGAAGTTGAATTGGATAGCACTAATTAGCATTTTAATTAGTTTTCTTTAGCACTTAGTGACAAAAGCAATAATTAAACCACCACTAAATTATAATGATTAAGGGAGGTTGGTGCTACCTGGCTAAGGAATGCTTGCTTTGTCGGCTTGATGCGTGTCTTAAAGCTTCCTTGGGCTCTGCTTTCTTTTACAGAAAGTGTTTTGTGACAACATTAAAAGATAGAGAAAGCAGTTGCCTTTTCAACACTCGAACAAACTTAGATTAGATGTGCTGGGACGGGATTGACTTAGACATTATCTGGATGGACATGTAATTTTTGCACTAATTCCCCCTTTTGATGAGCTTCAATGATTGTCAATAGTTGTAAGTGGGAATTACGTAGCGAATATGCTAATCACACGTGGACAAATATCGGAGAGGCAGCATCCGAGAGTCGAAACACTAACGCTCCATTTGATAGAAAAAATAGAAAGTAGGAAGGATGAAAAATATAAGAGATATACTTTCTATCTTTTAAAAAAGGAAAATAGAAATGATATACTTTCATTCATTTGTATTTGGTTGAGTGGATAAAAATAAAAATGACTACTTTGTTTTTGTGCTGGTTAAGATTAAGGGTGACAATCGAATAGTATCGTATCAAATTCGTGTTAATTCATTAAGGGTTTGTGTCGAACATTAATCACATTTAACTCAATTCATTTAACTAATTGTGTCGTGTCGAGTTACGAGTTGACCTATTTATTTTTGTGTTCAAGTTAATTAAGTTCGTGTAATAAAATTCGTATCGAGTTTGAATCTTATCATCTTGTTTGAGTCAAAAATTTTCACCCCTAATTAAAATGAAAAAAAAAAATTTAATTTAAAATTTAAAATTTTATTATTTATTATTTTTTAAATTTATATATAAATACATAATTAATTATTATATGAAATTAATATATATATATATATATTATAGACAAATAAGATACATCTCAACATAAATAATTAACTTTTATCTATTTTTCTTTCGATTTTGGAGGATTTGATTTGGGTGAGTTGGAAAGTAAGTTAATTGATCTACTTTTTCATCCTTATCAAATATGATATTTTATTTATCTCTCCAATTTTTCATTTTTCTATTATACCAAACAGAGCATAAACTAATTGAGAGTAATTCGAATGGTAATAGAAACGATTTGTAAATTTAGATGTTATGAGTTCGAATTTTAACAATTATTTGGGATCAAGTCATAAAAAATTTATCTCTCATAAATACTCTAATCCTGATATGAATAACATATCTTTAACTGAATAAAAAAAAAATTAATTAAAATACGTAAATTAATTTAGACACGTTAAACAAAAAAACTAGGTCAGTTGCTTATTGGATTGGTCCGTCATTTGGGCCAGAGAGCTAACACAGCTTCAAGAGTTGGTCCAGCTTGATTTCTAACTATTCTATCTCTTTCTAGAAGTTAGTGCCAATAATAATAAATAATCCACGTGTCAACACCAGATAAGGTTGGAAAATTTTGCGATGTTTGTGACATCACCACCGTTTACACCAACTCTCCTCACTGCACAAACCCCAAACACTAGAATCATCACCGCATTAACCTCGATCAGATCATCCTCTACCCCAGCAACGTCAATGGAGGACCAGCAACACCACCACCCACCACTGAAACGAGTGGTGGTCTGCGGCGGCGGAGTCATCGGTGTCTGTACCGCCTACTTCCTATCCAAAAAAGGTGTCGCCGTAACCCTTGTCGAAAAATCATCTATTGCCTGCGCCGCCTCGGGCAAAGCCGGTGGATTCCTCGCCCTCGATTGGTGTGACGGTGGTCCACTCTCGAAACTCGCTCGTGCCAGCTTCAATCTCCACCGTTCGCTTTCCCAAGAACTCAACGGCCCCCAATCATACGGCTACCGTCCCCTCACCGCTCTCAGCCTCTCCATCACCGAGTCGTCTTCTTCATCATCCTCCCAAGAGCCCCACAAAAGCCCTGGCAGAAATCTTCCTTCTTGGGTTGACGGCCCAGCTAAAGGCCCAAGAACTATTGGGACAGCAGAAACCACAGCCCAAGTTCAACCTCGACTGTTCACTAAAACACTATTGTCAAAGGCGGTTGAGGACCATGAGGTTGAGGTGGTGATTGGGAAAGTAGAGACGGTGGAGGTGGAGAGTGGAAAAGTTAGGGCGGTGGTATTGGAGGATGGGAGAGAGATTGAGGCCAGAGCGGTGGTGTTGGCTCTTGGGCCGTGGACAAGTAAATTGTCCCTTTTGGATTCGATGTTTAGGGTTTATGGGCTTAAGGCCAATAGTATAGTGTTAGAGCCCAAAGAGCCTGATGCTATTACGCCTCATGCTCTTTTTTTGAGTTACTATTCAGCTCAGGGAGGCAAGCCCATGGACCCTGAAGTGTATCCTCGTCCCACAGGTTTGTTGGCTTGGCTGTTTACTGTCAAATGCTAAATCACCCAAAAATAATAATAAAAAAAATTATTAAATGATCTTATAATGATATAGTAGATGATGGTTTTGATTCTGATTTTACTCCTTTAAATTTTAGGCATTGCTGATCATTTTAGCGTTACATTATATGATCTATTTTATGTCCTATTTTTTCATTAATTTAGCCTTGTTGTCTCTAGTGATACTTCATCATATTTTTTTTTTGTTTCAAGATATCCGGGCAGCACCTCGACTAATCTCCTGATCCGGATCCGGTGGTCATTCACGTCAAAATTAGAATATCAGTAAAATGGTTCAAGTTCGAGGGGTTGTCAATATTCCAGCATCATGTGTATTACTTTGCGGTTATAAATAAATCATCATGCGTATTACTTAGCAGTTATAATTAAATAACTAGGACCAGTGAACTTAACTTATGAGGAAGTTACTGATGGATGGCTATGAAATTTGTTGGAATTCACTAGTTTTACGTGTTTTTGTTTACAATTATATGATATTACTTTTATATTCAAAGCTTGATCTTCAAACTTTTTTCATATATATATTTTGTAACCAGAATTTTAGCACACTGAAATGTGTCGATTTAAACTACACTATTCATCTAAAATGTGTGTTTTTAATAAGTTAAAAATCACAGCACTGATGTAATAAAATTCAAAAATGATTGAAAATATGGCAACATATTAATATAAATTTCATGTTGTTGTGTGTTTGGTTGAGAATGAGAAAATGAAAGAAAGATTCAAGTATTGTATGATGCATTTATTTACTGAAAAAAAATGCGAACATTCTGATCATCCATTCTTCCAACTGAATCTTCAAGTTAAAGCTTAAAAAGTTTTTGTTTTTATCTTTTTTCCTTATAGGGGAAGTGTACTTATGCGGAGTGTCAGCTGAGGCCGAGGTCCCAGACGATCCAGAACAGGTGGCCCCTAACCCAGAATCGATACAGGTGCTTAAGAGAGTGGCTAAGAACGTATCAAGCCATTTGGAAGAAGGGGAAGCAACATTGAAGGCCGAGCAAGCTTGTTTTTTGCCGTGTACCGACGACAGTGTACCGGTCATCGGTGAAGTACCGGGAGTGAAAGGGTGTTTTGTGGCAACTGGGCATAACTGTTGGGGGATTCTAAATGGTCCGGCAACCGGAGCTGCTGTGGCTGAGCTTGTGGTGGATGGTCGTGCTAGTATTGTTGATCTTACCCCTTTTAATCCAGCCAGATTTGTTGTTGGGAAGAGGTAGATTGGTATGGTATAGACTACTCCTCCGTCATAGTTGATTAAAAAGATTTACAATTTACGATGTATCTGATGGGTATCATATTCGATACAAGTAGGTCGATTTTAACGAAGTATCCGTGCTTCGTTAGGCGGCCATGCACTTGTCTTGTGGTTGGTTTTCTGGCTGCAACGGTTGGATTGTGGTTAACGATTAAATTTGAAGATTCATTCTAAATCGAGAGTGGCGGATGTATGTAAGATTTACTGATCTTCCGTCTGGTTACTTTATTTTGATGCAGTTAGATTACCTAAACACTGATGAACAAGAGAATTTCAAATGCGGAATTATAAAAGATTGGTAGCTTTAGCAAATGCTGAAATCTCTGTGGACAAAGTTGTTGGACCTCAAGTCTTATGAAAGCCTTCAGAACTTTGATAAACCCATACTCTATAAACCTATTATTATTCTTTAGTATTACAGACTACAATTTAATTTGTATCATTCAACTTCAGATGGAAAAAAAGGTTTTTCTAAAGTTATTGTTTAAGTGGTGTTTGATAAAACTAAAGGCTAAATATTAAATTTTAAGTGTTAAATATTAAATTTTTTAATTCGCAGATTGCTTAATATCCACTAAAAATTAAGTATTGAATTAAATCAAATTGTTTGACAAATATAATGAGTTAAAGTTTAAAAAATATTATTATTTAAATTTTATCCTTTTATTTTAACCCTCTCACCACAATTGTCTTATTCCTACCACCACCATTGTGATGATAGTGGTGGCGGTGGCGGTGGCGGCGACGGGGTGAGGTGGATACACTGAGGGTATATTTATCCATTATGACGAATTTATAAAATTTTTACCGAGTAATATTTTTCAGCGTTAAACAATAAATAGGTGACTTGTTATTTAAAATTTTACCTTATTTTTCAAAAGTGCTTAAAATTAAATGAATTTTAAATATTAAGTGGGTGTTAAAAATTGTCAACAATACAGTAGTCATTTGCTAGTTTGTGAATGCAAACGACAAAATGTTTGCTTCTAATATCAATGAAAGTGCGCACAGCACCGTATCATTTACTCTAGGACGCACGTGCGTGGAAATCTAAAGCCCAGCAGCATTCTATTGGGCGCAGATAACGATCCCAAAATAGGGGATTGTAGACTCGACAAGCTCGTAACCAGGGAAACCTATTATAAGGCCGGCGGATCAGCCCAAAATTTTGGTAAAAAGAGATCAAGGGCTTCACATGACAGCTTCGATTACAATGCAGCTGGGCCCAGTTAAACATCATACTTTTTCCTCTATGATTAATAATTGTTATAAGTTCTAGAGTTTGACAACATTATGGAAATTTTATTTTTGGTATCATATCGTAAACTATTTATATTTGGATATTTATGCCATATTTTGAGTATAATTTATTATTTTTTGGGTAAAATTTATTATTTTTAATTATAATTTACTACATTTTAAAGTGTTCCTGACCAAAAATAAAAATAAATGTTTTTAATTGTTCTAGGAGTCATTTTTGGAGACCGACCCATATACCTATTTTGAATTGCAAACAAGACCACAAAATATCCCGCCCTCAACTCTCAATTTCACCATCTCTCTCTCTACAACGGCGACACACTAAAATTAAAACCGCTCTCAAAGTTACAGACAGACAGAGAAATCTGAAATGGCTACAAAGATTGGAACGATGGACTCAGTTTACTTTGTCGGCAGATCGGAGATTTTGGCGTGGATCAATTCCACTCTCCATCTCAATCTCTCCAAGGTCGAAGAGGTATTCTCATATGGAATTAGGCTTTGAGTCTTTACCTGTATGTGTGTTACAAAATTGTTTATATATGACACCTTTGGGTATTGTGAATCGAATGGCAGGCGTGTTCTGGAGCGGTTCAGTGTCAGCTGATGGATGCTGTTCATCCCGGAACAGTTCCGATGCACAAGGTCAATTTTGACGCCAAAAACGATTACGAGATGATACAGAACTACAAGGTTCTCCAAGACGTTTTCAACAAACTCAAGATCACCAAGGTGCAATTGCTACTTTCCACCAATTTAGATTTCTCTTTCTTTTTCTGAGATCTGCGCTTCTCTATGTTTTTCAGGCTTTGTTTCATCAGCAGAATGCACATACATACTCATATCTCTGTACAATATTAGAATCTATGGATTAGGCAAATAATATTGTATACTTTAGTTTTCCTTTTGAGAACTATTTCCCTTTAAATTCAGGAAAATAGTTGCATTTAATTTTACTTTGGATACTTCTCTAATTGAGTAATTTGTCGTCTGTGTGTGGTGTAGCAAATTGAGGTAAATAAGCTAGTGAAAGGAAGACCCTTGGATAATTTGGAGTTCATGCAATGGATGAAGGGGTACTGTGATTCTGTCAATTCGGGAGGCCTACGCAAGTAATTTTCACTGTAGTTTTTTTTTTTTTTTGGGAATATGGGAAAATATTATGTGTTTCATTGGTTCGAATTAAATAAGAAAATTGGCGTTCTAATTGTTCAGAGATCTGTGCTATTTACTTGTTAATCTTGTCGGTTTCCATTATAAAATATCTGAATTTACTTTTGATTAATTGCATTAATTCTGCCCTCTTTTTTTCGGTGAATAACAAGAATTAAGGTTAGAATTCACTGTTTTTTGTGCATAAATGGATATGATATGGATGTTATGGGACATCCTATGCAATCAGTTATCCCAGTGAATCCAACTATCTGAACCTTGTAATTTTGAGGAAACCAAGCAACAATCACATATCAAGAAATATGATGGAAATATAAACTTTATTTTTGATGGCTTCCTTCGCTTTTTTTTTTTTTTTGCTTAAGGACCTTTTGCTTTAGATGCCACAGAAGGTCGATGATGATCACAGCCTGCTGATTTTCTTTTTCGTTTGATCTCTTCATTCCAATACATATTTTCATGAAGCATCAGCTGTTTACAAAGTTCTTATTTGGTTGTCCTGTTCTGAAGCTAGATTAAGTACGTTCAAGATTTTAAAGGAAACAAATTTTCAGTTGTTATTGCTTGTCGATAAACTTTGCTCAGTTTTAAACTCTAAGGCCTTACAATATTGTGGAAATTTTTCTGATTTGCTTCTCTACCATCAATGTTAGTTACAATCCTATGGAAAGGAGAGAGGCTTGCAAAGGTGGAAAAGATGTCAGCAAGAAATTTGCACAATCACAATCATCAGCCAAGTGTGCATTAGCTCCTGCTAGAACTCAAGCCTCCCATAATGCCCGAAGGAATGATGCACCTTCTCTAAATACTACTAATCAATCTGTGAAGGCTTCTAGACCTTCTTCAAGTGGAGGGCCTTCTGTCTGCCCTGAATTAGGATGTACTGTGTTTGAACAACAGGTAATGAAAGTAGTGTGGTGGGGAGATACCTGTAGCTTAACAATGTTGACGAGGCTAACACTTATCTGAACATGTAGATCACGGAGCTGAAGTTGTCAGTGGATAGCCTTGAGAAGGAGAGGGACTTTTACTTTGCGAAGTTGAGGGATATTGAGATCTTGTGCCAGTCCCGTGAGATTGGAGACCTCCCTGTACATTTTCTTTAATTACTCCATATGATGAAATAGTTTACAATAACTGGATGAATATGTAACTAAGTTCAATTATGAGTTGTTCTTAATCATCTTCCATCTCCATTGCAGGTGGTTGAAGCAATACAGAGGATATTATATGCTATGGATGATGATGCATCAGTGGTGTCAGAAGCTCAGGCCATTATATCCGAATACCAGCACCAAGCAGAGCCATCGAGTTCCATACCTGAGGTGGAAGAAGATTTGCCAAAGTCAGATAATCAGAAAAGGAAAACTATAATCAATCTTGATGTTGATGTTGCTGCGAGCACTACATTGTCTCCAAGGCAAAGGATTTCTGATGTTTCTGATGTGCATTCCAGTGGATCGCCCCTTATGACTTACTGATCATTTCCCTATCCTAACTCCTAAGGATGGGTGGTTAGACAATTCCCTTTACCATCTTGCCCATTAGTTTCACTTTACAATGTTGGAATATGATTGTCAATAGTTTATAGATCATTATGTTTTGGAGTTTGTCCTGTTTCTGTCGTCTGTTTAGAATGCATGACAATAGTATCTCCTCTTTGTTTCTGGCCTGCTAGTTGCTTTATTATATTATTGAGAAATGAGGTATTGGTTGCTCGGTCGAAAGTGCACAATTCAGAGCTCTGTTTGAATTTGATAAACACCAGTCAGACCATGGTCAATCTGCAAGTACTGGTTTTTCGACATCCTCTTATTGATCTCTGGATTATTCTGATAGTAATATAGCACTAGGTTCCTAAAGTAGCATAAAATGACTGCGCATAATTGAGCCAGTTGATGAAGCCAAGTGTCTGAAGGCACATGGAAAATTACAGAATGTCTCCACTGCATATCAACTGAAAATGGTAAAGCAGAAACCCTAGCAGAAAGGGTGCCATGCAACGCTATAAATACCAGGTAATGTTTGAGTCAAAGGTACTCGCATGTTTCCTGCAATTTGTTTTGCTTATTTTTAGAGCGACTTAAATATTGGAGTGCCTCCAACAGGCCTACCTTGGTCTGTAACAGTTTGTTTGTTTTGTAGGAGGAACTGTGCAATCCATGCTCATTTTTTCCAGTCAAATTTCTACCATCACAAGGTAAGAGATTTTTTCCTCTTACAGTTCTGCTATACAGGTCGACTGGATTTTGGTAGAACTGTGTCCTTTAACTCAAATGGTGCCCCAGTATCATGTTTTTGTTTGTTCTATAATTTTTTGCTGCACTGTTGAATCAATCATTTTCCCCATTATGGTATATTGGAGCCTTTTACTACTTGCTTGTGTACTAATTTAGGATTTGTATGATTGTAGTTGTGAAAGGCTGGAGAATGTACAGTACAAGGTTCACGCTAATAATCTTTAAATCTAACAAAGTTTATTCTATCCCAAAGTCCTCTCACACCTGAAATCGCATGACAATCAGGATCTCAACACTTAGGTGGCAATCTTTATATTCTATTTAAATGTAGTTAGTTGTATGAACTCCAAATCTTAGATACTAATTTTTAATTTTTTTAAATGCATTATAATTTATTCTCAACTTCCTCGGAAATTTACATGACTAAACTCTTAACTTCATTCAAATTCCCCACTACTCTTACCTAACTTTCCTTGTCAATACTAAAATTTTATAATGTTGAATTATTTAATAATAAAGCATTGATCTCATCAAATTAAAGTATTTGATGCGGTTTATATAATTGCCCCCACAAAAGTACCTTAAATTGAAATTTTTCATTCTCAATTTAGAACAATAAAAGGTAACTTTTCAATAATATTGGGGTTGAAGTTGGGGTCGGGGTCAGGGTCGAGGTTGAGGTCAGGATGGTGTAAGGGATGAGTGGTTGTGATATGGGGTGGAGGTAACAGTGGTGGTGATGATAGATAGAAATGGTGAAATAGTGATGAAAGAGATTGAAGCATCGAGATGCCACTAGTAATTAACTAACTAGATGGGTGTTGATCCTCAACAACAATTGACAAACAATTTAAAGATCAATGTTATAACATATCTTTAACTTAATCAATCATCCCCTTTCAATTTAGTAGGCCTATGATATTTCTTGTTTCTACCCTACTAAAGAATAACGAAAAAGAAACAAATGCAAGACTGCTAAACAATTTGAATAACTTGACCTTGGCTTTGGTTTGCCTCTGTTAAATTTCTTCAATCTTGTTTAAATTCCAAAGGGATTGAATCTGATCAAGTTTTTAAACTTGTTTCACAAAAAATCGATTTGAACAACAATTTCTATTCAAAAGATCATCCTTAAAATTAACAAACAATACAAGATTATATACATTTCTATGTCCAAAACAGCTCTAGAAGGAAATTCATCTAGGGATTGCTTTAGGAGGTGATTAAATAGATTTTGAGAGATTTTTGTTGAGAAATTGAATATTTTAGATTTGATGATTAAGTTTTAGGATTTACTTCTTCAAATTTTTGCTAAAAATTTGAGCTCAATTTTGAATTCAATCGAACTCGAACATTGTTAATTTTTTGCTTAGTTGAGTTTTAGTTTAGAATCAACTCGAACTAACGTATTTAATACTCTGTTTGGTATAATAGAAAAATAGAAGGATGAAAAGTTAGAGAGATAGATAAAACATTATGTTTGGTAAGAAAAAAAAAATATGAATGATGAAAAAGTGGATGAATTAATTTTTCTTCTAACTCACTAAAATCAATATCTCCAAAATCAGAAAGAAAATAGATGAAAAATTAATTATTTGTGTTGAAATGTATCTTATTTGTCTATATATCCTTTGATATATAATATATTATGTATATATTAATTTAATATATGTATATATATATATTTTTAAAAAATAAAAATAAAAATTTAAAATAAAAAAATATTTTTTCCATCTTAGATAAGAATGAAATTTTTTAACTCAACATAATAACACGATTCGAACTTGATACAAACATTTGCGTTAAATTTTTTATTTAAAGTTTATGTGGGTCAATACTAATACGAACACAAATACGAGTATGATATGAAAATAAACAGGTTAACTCGACATGATACAATTAGTTGAGTTGAATTAGATTTGATTAATATTCGACACGAATTTGTAATGACTCAACACAAATATGACACGATGTGACTGGATTGTTACTCTTAATCTTAGCAAGCACAAAAAAAAATTAATTATTTTCATTTTTCACCCATTTTATTAAACAAAAAGGAAGGAAAATGTATCATTTTTACTTTTTTTTTTTTAAAGATAGAAAGTATATTTCTCTTACTTTTCACGCCTCTTATTTTTCATCATTCTTACTAAACGGAGCATAAGTTTTGGATTAATACGGCTAAATGCAAATATTTTTGTTGAGAAATTGAATATTTTAGATTGATGATAAAGTATTTTTAGAATTTACTTATTCAAATTTTGCTAGAAATTTGAGCTCAATTTTGAATTCAATTAAACTCCATCGTTGTCATACTTTTGCCCTGTTGAGTTTCAGTTTAGAATCAACCCAAATTAATTGTAATAAAGTTCCAAAAATTGGACTCCTTTAGCAATTGGCTAAATGCATGTGGACCGAGAAACAGCGAAAGTCTTGGCAGCCTGCTGGTGCTGGTACTGGTAAGTCTACTGTATGCTTTTGACCATGGAAGTAATAGTTGAACGGCTTCATTTAGTGGAAAAACCAGGCGAAAGTCACTAAGGAGGATCTAGATGGAGCAAAGCTTTGTTAGGTAATTATTATTATTATTATTTTTTGTGTTGCTCCGGGGCGGTTCTAGAACATGTGGAGCCAAAAGATTAATAAAGTTTTTTATTTTCTTAATAATAATTGAATTTTTTATTATAAAAAATTATTATTTTTACTTTTTGATGAGATTCAAAATTGCTAATTCAAATTTTGCTAACATGTTTTTTGATTAATAGTATGACTATTTATGAAAGATATTTATAGGAATATAATCTATTGTTCCATTAATATGTTTTATGTTCTTATTTATTTTGTATATTTTTCATCAAAATTGTGGTATTACATGATTGACTTTATTATGAATACACTTATTGTTATCTTTTTGTTAAATTTTTTTATTATCTTTTAATTTTTTATGATATTTTACTTATTTATGTACGAAACTTTTACCTAATTTTTTGTTATATTTTATTTGTCTCAATTAAGAACTTAATCAAAACTTTTTTTTTAATGAAAATGAATGGTATATATATATATATATATATATATATATATATATATATATATATATATATATATATTGTGTTTTGTGTTCAAATGAGAGGAAAAAAAAATGAGTTTGAAAGAAGTAGAGAATGTGTTTGCTTTGATTTATTTTTGGACCAAAGAAAAATGTTTATTATATTTTTTTTATCGAAAAATGAGATTAATAAAGTCAGCACTTCTTACTTGTTAATCTTTCTTGTCTTTTAATAAATGTAATTGTGTGTAATGGGCTGAATTTTGAGTTCAAATTTTAAATTTTTGTTGTCGGCTTACTCTTTCAAAAAAAAAATTTGTTGGACTTGTTAACTCTCTTAGAAATACTTATTAGCTCATTTTATTCTTTAACTTGTATTATATTATTGACCTCTAAATTCAAGATTTTATTCATATATATGACCTAAAATCCATGTTTTTTTTTTGTTGTACTCTAGGGCTTTCCTTGTGTCTTACATTTTAAAATCACATTCAAATTGTATAGAATCTAATTCAATTAATGCCTTTTTCATTTAGTTATTTTCCATCCTATTGTGGATGGTTCTGATAAGGGTGGGTTGTTTTTTTTAATCTTATTTAATTTTTTTTACTTTAAATTATTATTTTTATCTTTTCTATATCTACCTTATCAGTACTAACTTCATCTTATTTATATCTATTCAATTAAATCATAAATATATGTCAAAGAAATCGAAACAAAAATAATAATTGAAGTGAAATTTTAATATTTTGAGGTTATTTATATTATTTTAATATATTTTTACCAATATTTTAAAATTTTTTGGTACATTTAGACTAATATTTTAAAAATAATCATTAATTTTTATTTTGCTTTTAAAATATTTTTGTATCAAAATAAAATTTTGATCATTACCTATATAGTAGGTTAAAATAAAATTAAATGAGTTTAATTTTTAATTAATGAATATAGATGGGATGAGTTTAGTAATTAGTAGAGTGAAAACAGATAAGATAAATTTAATAATTCAAAATAAGAAAATTAAATAAGATTAAAAAAAAATTAAGGGGTGAGAATCCTTCTGGTAATGACTTAGCCTGTACGACAGGCAAGGTGAAAATCCATTCAATTTTGTTTGGTAGTGAGTTAGAAGAATCTACTTCAGTTCACATGACAAGTTCAAAGAGCTAACCCTAACCCCTGATCTAAGGCAGGTCTTGGGGTGTTTGAATATTCATTGGTTCCACTCAACTTTTTGAACGTCTCTCTTTTGGTAAAGTATACAAACATAACTAGAATATCGATGACGATGGAACGTCCACCAGGGGGTGTTGAAGGTCCGCCTCTCGATAATAAAGAAGATGATATTATTTTATTTTTAAATTCACATAATAATTATTTACGCTACAATTAAGTTTAATTAAAAAAAATTGAATTAATTTCACGTTAAGATATTTGAATTGTATAAATATTAAAATTCTTAATAAAAAAAATTTAATTCTCAAATTACGCCCTTAATATTTTTAAAATTTTGTAATGTGATAGACTCAAATTATTGGTCAGCTCCATGCTTGCATTATTTATAATAATGAAAATACATAATTTCTAGTTTTTATGATATTGAGGGTTTAATTACATAATTAAAAAAAAATTCAGAATATAAATTAAAAATTATAACATGTTTTAAAATATAAAATGCATTGATCATAATATCAACATAATTTTGTACTTTTTTTTTATGAATACAAAGAAAAGAATAAATTTATATTTTAAACATATTTTATCTAATATTATATTTCAGTCACAAGAATTTCACAAAAAAAAACCAACAAATTCAAATACAAGCATTATTTCCAAAATGGTCTGATATTTGGAGAATTTATCAATTAATTTGAATTTTTTAGTATAATCGATATAAAGTTTTATTTTATCTTTTTTTTTATATGAACACACAAAAAAAATATATACATATTTTATTCAACATCACACGATAATTGCGGGCATCTAAAAAGACTAAAAATTCTAAGTCTAAACACCATCTCTAAAAAAAAATCTAATCTCATTATACTTAGGAAGCAATGATTATGTTTTTTAATTGTTGAGAGATAGTGGGTGGGTGGGTGGGTGGGTGCTCACAAACATAAAACGCTTACCACTCGATTTGAAGTTTCATTTGAACAAACCTCCCCAGTTGGCCACGTATTGAATTCAAGTTCACAGAAAATGGAGTGACTCGGTCAATTCAACTGAGTCATTATCACCCAGCCGCAAACTCGGAATCAACGTCCCTTGATTCACGTCAAAAAGACTAAATAGCCCTCTCGTCGACTGTCATACCATTCATCTTCCCTTAGTCGAATCCATTCCCCACACAGAAAAATGGATCCACCGCCGATGACGGTGGTCCACCACTAGTAGGCCGTGACGGTGGTGGTTACGACTACAAGGACGCTCAGAGTCCCCACAAACCCTTTTGACGGGTCAAAACTCAAAACCCTACGAACCTGATCCTTATTAAATCACCTCTTCAAAAATCTCAACTATAACAACCACGACTTTCCGCCCTCTACGACGGCGCAGCCCATACAGCAACCTGATCTTTGATGGGTCAGTCCTCGTCGATCCACGGGGTATCACCTGGTGGATCAAACTACCGTAGCCCTAACCCCAGCCACCACCGCACTTCCAGCTCTGCAATGTCAAATGAAGAAAATACCTCAATTTCCGACGGAAATTTCGTCGATCAAGACTACATCTCCGAACTACCAGACGAATGCTTGGCGATTGTGTTCCAGTCACTGAGCTCCGGCGATCGGAAACGCTGCTCTCTCGTCTGCCAGCGGTGGCTTCGCGTGGAAGGCCAGAGTCGCCTCCGCCTTGCTCTTAGCGCCCAATCGGAGCTCCTCCTTCATATTCCCTCCCTCTTCTCTCGCTTTGACTCGGTAACTAAACTCGCTCTACGATGCGATCGCCGATCTATCAGCATAAACGACGACGCTTTGATCCTAATATCCCAGAAATGTCGTAACCTCATGCGCTTCAAGCTTCGTGGCTGCCGCGAACTCACCGATGTCGGAATGGCCGGTTTCGCACAAAATTGTAAGAATTTGAAGAAATTTTCTTCTGGATCTTGCATGTTCGGAGCTAAAGGCATGAACGCTTTACTCGATCACTGTTCATCTCTCGAAGAACTCTCCGTGAAACGCCTTCGTGGAATCAACGACGGGGTCGCCGCCGAGCCGATCGGTCCCGGGATGGCTGCTTCATCTCTCAAATCTATATGCCTAAAAGAGCTTTACAATGGACAGTGTTTTGGACCGTTAATCATTGGATCGAAGAATTTGAGGACATTGAAATTGTTGCGTTGTTTAGGTGATTGGGACAAGCTTTTGGAAACGATCACGAATCGGGAAAATTGTTTGACTGAGATTCATTTGGAGAGGCTTCAAGTGAGTGATATTGGCGTTTCCGCCATATCAAAATGCTCAGATTTGGAGATTTTGAATTTGGTTAAGACTCCTGAAGTCACTGATGTGGGTATAGTTGCCATGGCTGAGCATTGTAAGCTGTTGAGAAAACTTCATATTGATGGTTGGAGGACTAATCGGATAGGCAATCGAGGGTTATCTGCAATTGCTAAGCATAGTACCAATCTTCAGGAATTGGTACTTATTGGTGTAAACCCTACTTCTATAAGCCTGGAAGCCATTGTTTCTAATTGTCAAAAACTGGAAAGATTGGCGCTTTGTGGTAGTGAAACAATTGGGGATGCAGAGATTTCGTGCATTGGTACAAAATGTTTAGCACTAAAGAAGATTTGTATTAAGGGTTGTCCAGTATCGGATCTGGGGATTGAGACATTTGCTTTGGGTTGTCCTAATTTGGTGAAAATAAAGGTTAAGAAGTGTAGGGGAGTGACTAACGAGCTTGCGGATTGGTTGAGGGTGAGGAGGCCGTTCTTGACAGTTAATTTTGATGTGGAAGAGGTTGAAGCTGAGGCGGCAGATGCTCGTACAAGTGATGGTGGAGCTCAAGAGGATGGTGTGGAGTATCCTAGTATAGTGAGCAGAGTGACTGTTGCTGCTAATGCTGACGTTGGTGTTGCGTCGAGTAGCAATAGTCATGGTCGTTCATCGGGGTTCAAGACAAGGTTTGGGCTTTTTGGAGGTAGGAGCATAGTGCCTTGCACTTTCAGGAGGTGGTCAAATGGGACCAGTAGCTCCAATGGTCGTGAATGAATGATCTGAACAATGGTAGAAAGAACTCATCTTGTGCTGTTTACCTCAAGTTGTTTTTCAATTATAAGATGCTTTGATTGGTGTTAAAGCTTCTGTTGTTGGTTTCTAGGAATTGGGTTTGATGGTGTCTTCTTTGGTCTTCCTAATGCAATTGTGCAAATGTCATACTGAGAAAGTTTTCTATGTCCATTTCACATAGCCATATCTACCAATTCTATGTATTTTTACAACTTGTTCGACATGTATTTTCTATGTTATTTTGATGTTTTGATGTGTAGGAGTGGTTTAGCAAGGACGCACCAGAATGACTGAGATTTGAATGGTGTATAGTTTCAATCAGTGGTGTATCTAGCATTACATGTTGAAGCTTCCGTTGCAAGCCCATTTTATAGCCTTTTGATTCTGGATCTAGAAAAGCAAAATGTCATCCTAATTGTCTTGATGCATGTTAATGCGATCAAAAGATTTTGGAACACCCTTTTCTGCTTGACAATATAAAGAGAACCTATTGTTTATCTTTCAGTGCGGCATATGTTCGAACACAATTGTGTTTAGTTTCTCAATGATGCATTCCTTGTATTTTTATGTTGGTCATCTGGAACATTGGTGTATGCTTGCTATGTTGGTCATCTGAAAGGGACTGAAACGTAGAAGCAAGAACTGATCCGAAAGAATCGGAAGGATTATAAAGAACTTCTGTGTGGTGTTTTTTTTTTTTTTTTTTTTTGGGGGGGGGGGGGGGGGATGATGAATGGCGAAAGATAATAAATATGAAACATGGGGGAGCAAGGGATATCGCTTTGTTTTGTTTGTGCTTTAGAACAAAGTGCATTCGTTTAAATGATTCATACAAAAAAGGAGTTTATTTGTTCCAAACTATCTGACTTAAAACAATCTAGCGCACCTAATGAATCAATAGTCACTTCACTCACTTTCATAATCGTCTTCATCTCCGAAAGTAAAGACTGAAGCATCAGCTGCTATTGCCTTAATATCATCCGAGGCCAGGTTAGGGATTGAAGCAGATCTCTCAACGCCGTCAATTTTGGCTGCATTGGAAATGTTAATACCTGTGGGCTCCTGGCTCCCAATAGAAAGTTGTCCAGTCCCATGTGTTAATGTAGCAATTTGCTCCACTGTGGTACCCAATTTAAGAGGTGCAGCAGTTGGTTTGCCGGAGGCTGCATGAGCCAGGCTGCTCCTTGACGACACATTTTCCTCTCCATCACTATCGGAGAACACTTCATCGTTGTTATGGTCGCCTGAGACCTTATTTTTGTCAGAATTAGCTGTAACCCCATCAGTTGAGGCGATATTATTATCTGATCTTCCATCAGATCCACTGCTGGCATTGTCAGTTTTGTACCTTGTTGGAATGGTACCATCATAGTCTACCATAACAACCTCGACCTGGAACCCTGGGGAGGGAAATTTCCTCTGCAACAGACAGTGAAAGGCCAAGGTGCCAAGTGAATGACATTAAGCAAAGAAAGGACCAAAATTAAGAGGATAAAACAACACAAAAAATGAAGAGGAAAGACAACCCATGGTTAAACCTATTACCATCTCAGAAGGAAAAATAAGTATGGATTCACAATAAGAACAACTGGGAAAACATAACTTGGTCAAACGTTGTTAAGAGATAAGGATTGAATTCTTAAATTTCAAATTAAATTGTATTCATTGTGATAAAGATAAGACCAATCACCTCTCTATTGTAATCTTCTGTTGCAATCCTTTTCTTATATATAGTGTACACATATCAAGCAATGAAAGCAAGGAAATATTTTCATCTGAGTGTTCACTCTTATAAACGTCAACAAGGTATCATCGGACAGGGAGTGCCTCATTTACCTTGTCAAAGCCATCAAGATCAGAAGCATTAAGGATCACTCTATTTTCCATCAGCATCGTGTTTAACCAACTGCAAGGGAAGAAAGTGAATATTCAAAATAAGCATAGCAGTTTATACGGGAAGATATTCACTCAGATCCTCTAAGTTTGATCGAAATAGCACAACCATCCCTCAACATGTGTAAAATAACATGGCCATCACAAGCGAATATTTTAATTGAAAAATAACTCATTTATCCTTGGTCCAACTTCGTAATTATTTCTGGACAACATCATAATTTTAAGTCAAAATCAATTATATTTTTTGTCTAAAGAGTGAAAATTATCTAAATATTTTTTGCGACCCTGAAACTGAAAATTTCCAATGGAAATTGGGCTGGGTTAGCTTGGCCCCTGGGAAATTAATCAGCCTATAGTCACCTAATTCAGATATTCTAAAGCAATCCAATACTAACATAAGGAAAAGATTCCTTACACAGGTCACATATATCTCTCCCACTGTGTGCACTGATTATGAGATGTTGGTGTGAGATATCATGAGTTGCTTGAAAACATAAGGGGGGTGGGATGGGGGGAGCTGCGTGCTAAGGCAGGGCTTGTGTGTGGGGTGTTTGTGTATGCATTGCTTGAGAATAGATCAATTAGCAGTCAGAGAGAAAAAGCCCAGGGACAAAAGAAGGGGAGGTGTTTGGATGCCGGTCTTTTCAGCCCAATCAGGATTATTTTCGTTCTACAAGAATAAGGGATAATATTATGATTCTATTTTCATCCATTACAATATTTCAAAGGCAATGGTCGCCGTGTCATTTTACAAATGTTAGAGGTCACCATGTTTTAACAAAACTCGAGGGGTCCCATGGAAATTCACCCATTCATATACTCATCAAAAGAGTTCAAGCCACAGCACATTCTAGGGAGAGTGAAATCCTAGCAAATATTTGGATGGTTTTTGTTCAAAATTTACTGTCGTATAGATTGATTTGACTTTCCAACAAATTAGAATAGCATTCATGAAAATCTGGATGCATAGGGTGTGTTTTTCATGATAATATATATTACTGAATAGAGAAAAGAAGGTTAATAGTCTTTACAGACCAGTAGAAGTCTCCTTGGCGTTCATGGAAGTGTATTTTGAAGTCCCCCACCAACTCTGTTAGTCCATGCTCCCTTGGTAGAGCAAAAACTACAATTCCTTTTCTTGGCGCACGAATCCAGAAATCTTCTGGCTGCAGAATTGCAAACAATTATCAGTAGGCTCATGCAAGCAGTTCTGCACTGACATCAATCTAATACCTCATAATCCAACCAAATGATTCAGAGGTCAATTACCATTAGATCCTTAGTTTTTGGATGCTTTCTCGTTGAAAATAATATTCCTACAAATTCATAACCATCTCTCTCTGTCACATAACCACGTACAGTACTCAAAAGATAAAATCAACATGGAGTAGCATTTTATGTAGCATTGTGCTATTGGCGTGAGAGTTAAAGTTTCCTGTCTAAGCCTTCAACAAAGGAATGTAACATAAAAGGTATATAAATGCACCCACATGACTCAGCAATCTTTCACGCTAAACAAAGTTGCAGGCTCGTTAATTCTCTCCCTCTCTCAAGACAGACACACAAAATTATACATGCGAGCAAAAACACTTCAAACATAGGTGCTACCCCATAAATGAAGGTTTGCTTATAAAATATCTTGTAGGTGGATTGATTTGTGCAATTGCTGCATGTTTTATTGAATGGCTTTCTAACATGCCTATATGAGCACATGTAGCTTTTCTTGATGTGAAAGTCGCAACCATAGACATCAAGAATGTGGGTTGTAAACCCTAACTTATTTCTTCCTTACCTCAATATGCAACTTACCATTCTACCCTTATCTGTTTTAACTTATTCTACAAACAAACCAAGGTTTTTATCACAATAGATAACTTGTGAAGTTGTTTGCAGAAGATCAAAGTTTTATAAATAATTGCATGTGCATCAAAGCAAACCAAAGGGACCTAAAGTGAGGGATCCCAAAGGAAACTGAGCACCAAAAAAAAAAATTCTTAAAATTCAGAGCAGTTAAAATATCTTCATACAAAAAAATAAAATAAAATAAGCCACAAGAAGATGTCGTAGGCTACCACTATGATTGGATATAGTAATGGAGGGCCTAATCCACGATGGGCACTTGTGGAGACGAAAACCCCTTAACATGCACCTGTAAAAAGGTAATTGAGTACCTTACCAAAGATCAAACTGATGCATTTTGTAAATAAATCATCAGAAGAGTACCTACGTCCGGGCGGATTTTCACCATTGAAGTGTGTTAAGATGTGCTCGAAGTATTTTACATACCTCTAGGAAAAGCAAAGAACTTAATGAATTACTAGACATATATAATCTAAACTCAACACAATACCAATATCCAACGGAAGTGTGGAACTCACAATTTGACTAGGGTGAACCAGACCCTTCCCATCCACACATCTTTTCTGGTTATAATAATCAATGCAATCCTCGGCTGTTGGGAAAAACTGCAGAAAGAAGGCAAGCAAACAACAAAGAGTTACAAAATAACAGAAGAAACAAATCTATAACATACAAATCTCTTGCACTGAAGCACTTTAGCATCATCATGTGGATGATTATTGAATCTGACCTTTAAGAAGAGAAGAAGGCTACAAATCATTAATCCTGTCCTTGCCTTACCAGCTTTACAATGAACAACTACCACATTCAGAATGTCCTCCTTCAACCATGAGTAAGCACTTTGACAAAACAACGGTATAAGGTGAATAGGGGGGCAATTATGGTCATCAAATGGGAAAGACGCAACCTGGACAAACAGTCAGACAAATCAAACATAGAAGAAGCTACAAGTCCATAACATATCCATAAAAAGGAAGTAGCTGTAAAATCACTTGTCCACATTAGATTTGTGCATAATTTAATTTGCAACAATAAGTTGGAATGCTTTTTCTTCCAAAAAGGTGGATGGTTATAAAGCATAGTCACCAAAAGGTATATACCTTCAACAAGTGGCCCCCTATCCATTATTAAATTCCCAAGGAATATGAAATTTCATTATTGACCATGCATCAGCACCTCAAGCTGTGCACAAATAGTATGGACTGAAAAAATAGCATGAACTCAAATCTCTATTGATGATATAAGGGTTTGCCTTATTTGCTCAGTCAAAGATAGCCTCTGGGTGACTTTGTTTTCTGGATTACATGTATCTGGGAATACAATCCAAGGAATAACTAATATCATAAACTTTGGAAGGACTGCTTGTCAAACTGGGAAAGTAACCTTAATGAACTCTTATGCAAGTGTCAACCATGACACATCCTGGAGGCACTGTCACTGCCTTTCCATTGAAGGGCATCATACATACTAAAGGGTTCCATAAGAAGTCCCTTTTTTGTGTGGTCCGCAATCCTGAAAAACAATTCTCACCTTGGACAACCTGAGATGCAGAGGCAATATCATTACAACTAGTGTTGTGTGTCCAAGGAAGCGGAGGAGACAGTGAAACATTTATCAGTCATTGTGGTGTGGCAATGGAGTATGGTCCAGGCTTCTACCCTCGTTTGAGTAACTTGGGTCATGCCCAGATCAATTGAGCAGGTGATCTTTAATTGGAAAGAGAGACATAAATATGAAGAGAGCTTATATCCTACATTGAAAAATTAGGACCACTCAAAGTTGATTTACATGGTTGAAAGGCCTCTCAGCCCATTGCCATTGAAGTTTTTTTGCTTGATCACTTTTCTATTTTCACGACAAGTATCTGGATTAGTGAATTCTTAGTACTGGTTTTTCTTTGAGCTTCCAAGTTGTGCTTTGCATACCCCATATACCTGGTATTCACACCAGGTTTTTGTAGGTATTTTACTTATTAAAAGAAGAATCATTCTTCAAATGTATAGATTGGAACTGCAAGTATTCAGACAAAAACCAAGGAGAAAAATTGAACATAGCCTGATGAACATCAGCCATTGATACTGGACACGAACGAAGCTATTGGATTTGGTTTACTACATGATCACTATGCTGATGGTAAAATTTGAAGCTCCTCAAGTATATCACTAGATCTTGCAGGTAATTTGTTTAGGCTCAAACTGTCATATCAAATTCAAGGCAAGTACCGAAAGTTACTTAACAGAGAAAACAATACCTTCCCCTCAAATAGTGAAGCATCATATAACCTCTCAGAACAAAGATTGTATACTTTGTATTTTCCCTGCATTTAAAACATTTATTAAAAAGATTTCCCATAAATAATAAACAACGAATAAAATGGAATAAGCCCAAATTAGAGATACGCATGCATTCAAATTACATTAAGCTAAAGATGGAAAGTCAGACTATGATTTCAGTAAGAACATATCAAAGGACTACTACAGGCCAATAACATTAATACCAGAGTAAAGAAGCAAACACATTAAAATGTTAAATGAAATTAACCAGCGGGGCTTCAAAAAAATTGCGAGGGTATTTATCCCGAAAAAATACATTGAGGAGCAAAATCTCAACACCAGTCACCAGAAATAAGAAAAGCAGTAAACCTCAACTACCCTTTTACCATGCAGTTTACATAATTCCTCCCCCCCCCCCGGCTCCCGTGGGAAAGACTCAATGAGTTATCTATACTCGATATTCTCGACTCAAGTTAATTCGGTTTTCTTCACTTGTCCTTGTAGCTGCCTCGTGTTGGAAAATCATTCCTTACAGGTGGATTTATTTGTCATTATTGCGTGTTACAAAACAAATCCAAAGGACTTCCCCACATCTTATTCTCAATGGCGCCACCTCTAGCCTCTCAAGAATGCACTTATTTCTTCAAGGTTATTAGATTTTTATTCATCATTAGTCTCATACTCTGGTCCAACTATTACCTACCACTTCATTTTAGCATATTCCTGAACCTTTTACATCATGACTCATGGCATACAACATTCTGAAACATAATAATTAATGTCAATATATTTGAAAGGAAGCATCAATACCAATACCTTCATGATTTTCATTTACATTCTCCCAATAACCATTCTTCCAGAATAAAGATAGCACCTAAAGGTAACCAAATTATCTTCTCATGATAATGAGGAGAAGCAAACAATTTTATTTGGGAGCATCAAACTAAACTCTCCCTACATACATGGCATCTAAAAGCTCCAGTTGTAAACTAGAATTCGAACACTACCTTATGATGGGATTCAAAAAACTTGATCACTTCTTCCATGTGATTTCGATACAACCCCTGCATCACATTTCTATGACGGTATTAATAGAGAAACTGCAGTGATCAGACTCAACAAAGTTTAAAATGTAAACCATAATAGTCGTTTTACCTCAACATATCCAAAGAACCCAGAGCTCATATCACCAGCAGGAAACCCCATAGCAATTATATTTTCAGTGATATAAGTCATATCCAAATCAAAACCTCCCTCCTGAGAATAATATCAAGTTGTGATAATATAATCCACGATATCTTCGTTGACAATATAAATGACAGAAATAAAGTAGGAAATGAAATCAAGAGTCAAAGAAGGTAAAAACGAGTAATAAATGCAAACAAACAAAGTGAATAACTTCATAATTAACATGCTTTGAGACTGAATGAAATGCCATCATAGATGAAAAAATAGATATCCTTTCCAATTCTGCAAGATGGTAAAAATTAAAGAGTACTAAAGACTTGGTAGAATTGAATTACATGTGACACCTCAATCCTGATATTAATGAACATAAATCAACAAAGCATCCCAAAAAATTTATGTCCTCTCAATCACCCTAAGAAGGAATAACTTGGTAAAACTAAACCATCATGATTTCATCACTACTTCTATGTATATCGCTTCCAATCAAAATGTGATGATGTTTTGCTTTGAGGTTGAACTCACCACTCTCCTTTTGAAATCCCCTCAAACTTCCATCGTCTTCCAATATCCTCAAGTAACTTCGTAGCATCTTCTTGATGCCCCCTGATGAGACCTCTAGATTGGAAGTGGCTTGGCTAATATTGATCATAACGCAATTAGATATCTCAATCTATATGCCAAGATGTCTCCTCCTCTTCTGAAGCAATCATTGCAAGGGGAAAATAATTAACTAGAACTGGTCCCACCAAACTCTCCTCCACACTCACTTTTTCTAGAAAGTTCAAGTGGCAACACCTGGTTATCCACGGCAGAAAAGGACATGTCTTTCCACAGTACCAAATGTAAATTAGTACCTTGGATATCATTGGCTTCTGGAACATCAGTTGAACTTCATACCGAAGTAGAATCCCGTCAGTCGGTAAATGAATCACCCTCCCATTCAAATGTTAAGTCCCTTCTTACCTATCTGCTTTAAACTATGTATCTTCCTCTTTTAACAACCTTTCCAACAAAACCTACCTTTGCCTACCATTACAATTCAATTGTTTGTCACAAAATTAAAAACAAGACAACGCTGAAACTGGGGCACAAGATAAATTCCTGACATACTATCATGCATAAATGAAGGAATACCCCAAACAAAACGATAAGCTAGTAATACTGAGGATTATGAGAGCACAAATTCAATGTATAATATTAATCACAACTCGTGGACCTCTTAGATCATTAGCACACTAAAATAACTTGAAAACCTCAGCAGTGCTAACATTTGAGCTAAGCTACCTGGTATCTTCTTTTGTTTTGGGAGACAATGTGGCGTGCCTTAACTTGCACTGCCTTCACTGCACTCAGGGATGAGTCAACTAACCCTTTTGTGAATGACTCAAGAACACCTGATTGTGCAGTTGCTGAGGCGTCTTCAGATCTATCATCGGGTTGAGAAGCTTTCGAAGTCAAATTCAATCCAATCCCACTAGCAAGACGTGCAAAGGTGGACTTCTCAGCACTGGCAGTCTCTGAATCCTTTGGTGCCAGCGCCAAGGGCTGGGGAAGTTTTAGGCCTCTGGCCCAAGATGATAGGCCCGATGTGGACAACATAGAAAGTGACTGGTGTGGAGATGCAGAACTAGCTTGCCCAGACACATTAGGAGCAGGAGACTCCATATCTTCATTAGATAGAGGTGATGAATAAGCTGGTTCTGAGTCCATTCTGCCAGTGATCAAGGTAAGAGACCGAAATATCCAATTATATAAACTCGAAAGAATGATTACTTCGGCTAAGAAGAAACCGAAAGCGCACTTTAGGATTTAACATAAAAGTAAACTAAATGAAAAAAAAAAGTACATGAAAACAAACTTTCTGAAAATAACACATATTTAAGATCTACAAAATTCAAATCGAAAGTAATTTAAGTGATTCTCAACAATCAACATTATGTTAAAAGCAGGTTTAACAGATCATAGGCAGGTTTTGCAGATCATACGATTATGTTAAAAACAGGCTCAGGGCTATACTGAAGAGTGAAGACAGTCGCATTACATAGATGCGTTTAGATGTAGATTGCGAGATCTATCTGAACAGGGAATCTTGAAAGAAACGAAATCAATGCAGGAGAATCATGAATTGCATTGCGAATTTGAACAATAGCTCCGTTGAGATTAGATAGTGTTCGATCACTCACGAACTTTTGAAGAACACCTCTGTTTGCTGCTTTGAGTTCCAAATGCTTGGCGAACCGTGTGAAGCTTCTTACGGTTTTCCAATTTCCAGTGATCCAAAAAGAAAAATGAGAGGAATTTTTGGGCGGGGGGACGAAGCTCAATCGGAGTTCTTCATTTGCGGCGTTTGAATTGGTAATGCTTGGGATTGAACTGCGAATTGAGGTTTTGCCGTTATCAGATCACCAGTTCTTACTGGTGGACCCACATTTAACTTCCCGATGATTGATGGCTACACACTACAGACAGATGGATTGTAAGGATAAATTACACATTATCCCCTTAGGCCATGTTTGATTTGAGGATTGCTTCTTACATTTTCAATACTAAAAATTAGTTGCGGTTAAAAAAAGTATTTGAATTTTTTTATAATGTTTATTAGTTCAATAAGTAGTACAATGACTCCTACAAATAACTATTTATTTTATCTTATTTTATATAACAAATATACAATTTTACTTTTAACATCGTGCATTCTATTATTTCGTTTGTGTAATATTTTTGCACAATATTTGGTACAACATAATACAAGAAAAAAAAATAAAAAAAAAAAATTGGTGACACCATACACTTAAACATAATAAAAGGAAAAAATTTTAAAAAATTTTTAAAAAAATTTTTTAAAAAAATTGGTGACATCGTACACATAAACATAATACAATAAAAAATTCAAAATAATTTTTTTAATATAATATAAGAAAAAAATTAAAAATCATAATTTTTTTAAAAAAAATTAAAAAATAAAAAATCGTTGGTGGCCTAGTCTCATACTAACATTAAAGATTAAGAGGTAATTCAGTCATTAGCCTCCTTAATAACGTTGGTGGCCAAAACCCAAAAAATAATACCATTTCATAGGTGGTATTATATAAGTTCATGTACATGAATTTTAGTGATTGCAGCGAATGGGTTAGTATTGCGATATAAAAAATAGCACCACACAAAAAAAGTGAACAAATAAGATATTACTTGATGGTGTTCTTATCGCGATTGAGCAATGCTATGGATTAAAAGCATGCTAAATGATAGGGTTTGACTTGATCTGTTTCTAGATAACGGGGGAAAATCATATAATATTTATAGTGGTTCATGAGTTCGGAAAGTCGGTTAATCTACTCTCAACGGAGTCTTTTACTCTCAGGAACTGTTGTTGAAGATAATGAGACTACACAATTATCTTAATACAATTTCCGTTGCTTCTTGACCCATAGTGAGAACATTGTACAATATTTATAATTTAATTTTTACTTTTGAGGGATCTGTGGCGAGATATTTGCTTTTCTCTCGTAATATCTTACTTGATTTCAAGCGATGATCGAGACGGTTGAGGATCTTGCACTTAGATTAACGTTTATAGCCATTGAGGGAGCACGTTATCGTTGCCAACTGTCTTCCATTCGTTTTCTTTGGGGTGCAGATCGAGAGAGCCCCGAGTTTAAATCTCTTAGGCTTTTTTGGTTAAACTTCTTTCCAGATCTTAGCTTTCAAACTCAAATATAAACTTTCTTTTAGACATCATCATTACTGAACCCCATGTACTATTTTTCTTAATCTCACTTTCTTATATCACTATTATACTTCAAATAAACACACCCTTTAATGTATAGCCCGGTTGCATTTGTCCCCCTTCTTGTTTCATACCATCAAATTGCTAGCTAAAATTTCAAAATTTTATATTTAAATAATATTATTTAAATCAAATGGACTGATAGATTGGATGAAAATTTCGAAATGGCCCGTGAACCATGGATGGCCAGCCACGTGGCTAACTCTTCACCAGTAAAGCTGCTAAAAGCACAATCACAAACTCAATATTTTCATAAAATAATTATTGAATTAAAACCTAATAATCTGATCTTAAATAGTGATTTATCAGTTCTGGTGATCAACTCACGCTGCAATAACTATAACCGTTAAAGACTTTTTTTAGTGGGCTCATACCACCTTCCATCATCCTAATATTAGGTTATATTTTTAATTTTTTGATTAAACCGTCAAAATTGTTCAGATCAACTTATACGTAATTCAATTATTTTCTTCTTTAATGCATAATTCAACTAATTTCTTCTCTAATCTTATCAAAAATAGGTCAACCATTCTAAAACTAGAATATTTATAAGAATAAATACCTCATGACTTAATCCTAAAAATTACTAAAATTCGAGCTCAGCACGTCTGAATTTATAACTCGTAATTATTACTACTTAAGCTATTTTTTGAGATTTTAAGTTTCATTTCTATATTTTAACAATAATATTCAGAAGCACTGCTATTGTAAAAACTTTGCATTCTTTATATTCAATTTAATAACTGAACACAAATCTATGACTTCTATACTGAAGAATACGTGTAAACCTGGAGAATAGTGGATATGGATTTCCAGCCAATCAGCAAATGCACCGAGACACATTGACAGACCTCTTTCACGAGATCAAAAAATATTTGAAAATTCAGTGGGGTGTATCCCCTGGCCTACTGTAACAGAAGTTCCCTGGTATTTACTTAGTAAAAATATTATCTTTGTCTTTGAGGTTGTTGATGTTGATGGCTCATTCACAATGGTAACTTCACAGGAGTACAATTCTCCGACTTCAATGACTGACGAGGTTTTACTTCTCCCCTGGACGCCTTGCAGAAACCTGCTCGCCCGCATTTCTCAATTCATGCTTTCTCTTGCTTCGGCGTTTTGATCTGGGCAACCTAATTTTTGATACACGTTTCTCAGTGTTCTCTTGGATACCCATCACTTTTTCATCCGATGGGAGTTCAGGAGGAGCATCTGGCCACGGTGTGTGTTTGGCTGATACAGTGACTTCTAATGGAGGGTCAATTATCCACCTACATGAGATAAAAAGCTAATATTCAAATGACACAGCAAAAAGTCCATCTCATGCAAGTCAGTAGGCATTTGTTTTTTCTCACATAACATGTAATAGAATTTGGATTAGAGGGCTAAACTACACTACGTATCAATGTAGAGATAATTACTTAAAACATATATATTTTCAGCGTATAGATATTTTCATGCTTTAAAAGATAACTCAGAGATATCACATTGCGTTTTATGTGAAAATTAGTTGAAATATGGAACGCGGTAGGAGTGTTACCGCCCTTGAATGAACTCATGTCTGCAAGTATAAAACACGCTTAGTTACAGGTGAAACAGAATCTGTGTACAAAGCGGAGCCCATTTAATAAAGGATATTAGATCTTACTCCAGTAACACTAGATGATCTAAAGCAATGACAAACCCTCAAAAGTTTTCCATTACTTAACAAGTATGTCACAAAATCAATAACATATTAAAAGAAAATATAAAAATCTTGACTTGTCAATTACAAGGTCTATGCCTAGTTTAGCAGTGGTTAAAAAAAAATTCAGAATGCAGGCATAAGAATAAGAGTCAGAGACATAGAGTAATGCAGGTTATGCGGAAGGATAGGTCAAAAACTCATAAACACAGTGCCTGAAAGCCATATCATGGTGTTGAAATTGCATATCATTTTGCAATCATACGGGGAGAGATAGAGAGAGAGAGAGATTCAGATCATCCTAACAACACATTTGGGTCATAAACTATGCATGGAGATCTTACCCGTACAAACTACTGCACCATACAACAACTAAAAAAGGTGAAAACAAACAGGGTTTTAGCTATCATTTTACACAACTTAGGTTTAAGGCAAAAAGAGAGCTACAGTTAAACATGTTAGGATACATCCCTCCTAACAACAAAAAAGGGCATGTGGACACTATCCTGATTGAATATTCTCTGCAAACCAATACAAATTGGGTGCATCTTAAATAGCAAAATTTCTCATCATTTACCTGAGAAATAGCTAGAGGTGTGAAAACCATAATATCAAACTTTGGCTGATGATTTCTCTTTACGTCTCATGAAAATCTCATCCCCAACCCCCAACTCCACCCAAAAAAAAAAAAAAAAACCAAAGAAAGAAAGAACCAGACAAAAGTGGGAAAGTTTGTAAGGGTAATTTGCAGTAAATATAAACGTACTAACCAACTTTTTTTCTGATAAGTAGGCACTAGCAATCATAAAATTAGAAGCGTATGTAGACGTTCTTCATTACATATACCTGAATGCAGGATGTTCACTTAACCTCCTAGAGGGCTCATATAGTATCTATCAACCATAGCTGTAAGAGGATTTAGGTATCAGATATGCAATGTTTTACAGACGTCAGAAAGCTAAGATTTTTCAACATGGCCATGAATGGTCTCTCTCTCTGTTTTTTTTTTCTTTTTTTTTTTTTGAACAAGGACAAGGAAGATCAACTGTGGCAAAACCCATAGTTTAGCCATCACGGTAACCTTAGGTGAATAACAAATGGATTGGGGGGAAAATGCATTCCAATGTCCCAATGATAGTGTTTGTGCATGTAAATACGATTCGTATTGGGACAAATCTTTGTGGACAAATAACCATAATACAAACACTAAAAGCTGTGTAACCCAATGAGCCCTTAATATTTCACCAATGAAATAATAAGTAACAAAGAACCATACGTGAGGTCTCATAACAAAATACATTACTCCATAGGATTCATATTATTCAAACGTAACTAGAATCTGGCCAATTCAACAATTGCAGATAATGGTAGCCTCAGGGTGCATGAAAGATGTCAATTGTATGGGCCTGTGTCCAACACAAAAGATATGCAATAATAAAGTGGGTCACCAAATAATTGGACTTTGGGAATTCGGGTTGGGTGGGGGTGCAATGAGTCCATTGTCGTTGATAGAGTAAATTTTAAAAAACAGGTCACTTGAAATCATATTTTAAAATTAACAATCATACTGGTCATATTTGTTCTCTACCTCTTATGTAACCAAGGATATTTGTTCTCTACCTCTTATGTAACCAAGGAACTAATTTTTACTATCCCTCCTAAGTGTGACACATTAAATGTAGTGAATTTGGTAGATAAAAGCCCTCAACAAGATCTTGAAAATGAATCACTAATGTTATCTCAAAATATTTTTTCGGTCAAAAAGAAAGGGCATCATCAAAAGAATCAATGGAATCTTCCACTGAGAATCAAAAAAGATGCAACATGGGTACACAAATGTGATAAAGCAGGCAATACAAAATGCACTATGAAGGGTGAACACCAATGATTCAAAAAACCAAGCAGTTCATTTGATCAGCTTCACCATATAAACACATCAGTCCACACAAAATTTAACAGCAGAGGGATTTAAGGCCCGTCCAACACAGGTTTGTTTCTGAGATGTTTTAGCTTTTAAAATTTTAAACCAACCAGATTAATTTATTCCATTAGTATAACTAGAAATCCACGTTCTTCAAGGGACAAGTTTCAAGAATTTCACTAATGAAATGGAAAGGCAGGACTGTGCATAACTATTAGGAAGAAAAGACATGAACAGCTATGGAGATAACAGAAATACTCCTTATCATTATCCCTAGTTTAATTATTATCATTATCAATGACAACTGTTGTGGAAGCAAACAAAAATAATGGGAGCATCAGTAAGAAAACACAATAAAAGACACAGTAAACGTGATGGTAGAAGACTAACCCGGCAGGGAATTTGCTATCTGCCTGTGCTTCAACACGCAGCCACCACAGCAGAACTTTGCGCCCACAATTCCCAAGAGGCTCTACCACCGAAGGGTCCTTCAACATTGACAATGGACTCTCAATATCCTTTCCATTCATGGCCAACATATCCAAATTAACCCAGCCTGGCTTGTCATCAGCTTCCTTCCAGACCAACCTTGAATTCAATACAAACGTAGCCCACTCCTGCTTCCTCGGTAGCACAATTGCCCTGTCACCAATATAACTCGCACTCTTCTTCTCATACAGCAGAGAATTAAAGGTGTTCCAACCCACCAATTGGTCCGACGAATTGCAAGCCGGACCTTGTACCGGCACAGCCGAGTTATTTTCATCCTTTTTGTTCTCAATAACCGACAATTCTGTATCAGAATTATCCGAATGATCAAGAATCCCAATCGAAACAGCACCAATCCATTTCACCTTCTGGATCTCATCAAAAAGCTCCATGCTATGCATATTACTATCATCCGCAAACACCACAATCCCATCCAGCTTCTGCTCTTTCACAGCTCTGTTCGATCACAACAAACCTTCTGTATCAAGATACAATTCTAACAACAATTTTCAACAGACATACAAGCATATTTGAATAAGAAGCGAACTATATATTACTATACCTCAAGGCAAGAAGTCGCATTTTGGACTCCATTTTGTGTCGATCCTCCCACAAAACAGGCATTTTCTCGTTGAATCCGATATGGATAGTCCGAAGACCTGACTTGGCGATCAACGAAGCGGTCTCGTTGGTGGTTCCTCCGGCTTCGACGACGATCCAAATGAGATCGTACGGTACATTCATCAGAGAATGCATTACTCCAGTGAGATGCAAAGTTTGGAAAGTTCGAACATAGGTTGGAGTGATGGCAATAATGGTCCTAGGGTTCTTGACGCCGTACTGAAATCTTTGCTCTCTCTGAACTCTCTCAATTATGCGGTGGGCTTTCATGACCTCATCCGGATTTGGATGCGGCCACGGCCGGATCAAAATCCCGTGCCGCCCAACTACCACTCCACTGCTTGAAATAGCTTTCCTATTCGCCGGCGAATTCGATACAGCATTCTCCGAAGAGAATGTTGACTGAAAAGCAAGGGTTTCGACTACATTGTACGGCAACGTAGTATAGAGGTTTGTAGTGGTGGCGGAGGTGGAGAAGAGGAATAAGAAGACAAGACGAGAGAATCGGAAGCCAAGAACCAGGCTAATGAGGCAGCAGAGCCATGGAGTACTAGCCAGAAAATGGACGCCGGAGACTTGATGGTGCCATCGACAGATGATTCTAACGGCGCTGATGATCTGAAGCTGTTGTTCCGACGGCTCTGCTGCAACGCCGAAAGCTTCATTCTCTCTCCTCCTGTACTCTCAGGAACAGAGGAGATAGTAGATGAAAAGTTTGGTTGAGAATGTGAAGCTTGAGGTTTTGATTAGGTGTTTGCTGAGGAGGAGAGAGAGAGAGGAGGTTGGGAGATGGCGATGGGGGGAGGGTGGTGGCGGTGGTGGGTTTAGCTGTAGTTGTTTAAGGTGTTGTTTAATAGAAAGATTTCTTTGAGTTTACGAATGAATCGATGGATTGCTTATCATTGTCTTCTTCTATTGGTAGTTTCAGGTAGAGAGAAAGAGACCCTTTTCGGGAGAAAACATGACGCAGGGAAAGGTGGGAGAAGATCTAGTGTATTTTATTACAAGGACGCAGGGTAAAAACCGCCTCGCAGAAAGGGTATTTACGAAATTTAAAATTGGATATACCGTTATTTAAAAAATGGAACTAAATGACATGATTTTATCAAAATAAAAAAAATTAATGTGTAAAAGTGGAATTAATCACACACATTATGTTAATATTATATCATTTAGTTTGTATTTTTAATTTAATTTTTTAGTCAATCTAAATTTTATGTTAGTATATAAATTTGAGCAACTTGAAGGTAAAAATAATTTGTAGATATTTTTAAAATATAATAAAATTGAACAAAATTGAATTTTTTTTTGACATATTAGTCAAAATATCTAAAATACTTCTAAACATTGTAAAACACCTCTAAAATACCCTTAAAAAGATAAAATTTCTATATTTTTATTATATTTATTTATTTTGATTATTAATGAAAATAAAATATTTTTTGACCCTTTCAATAAAATAAGATTCAGTTAAAAAAATAGAAATAAGATGAATTTTTAAACATTATAAAATATCCTCTTTAATTTTTTTTTTAAATAAATATTAAAATTACAGCTACAATTTTCTTATAAAAAAAGATTAAAAAATAATTGAGTTATAACTGACGTGAGTTTAGGCTAATGGTTATTGGTTGATCAGAGAGATGGGCCGTCAAATTCTTTGATTATTACACCCAGGCATGGAAAATGGATGATAGCTAGGCAAATCTGAAACCCATTTGCGAAGCCCCCAGAAACACAAGCCTTCTCCATTTTTTTGTTCAACCATCAAATCAAATGCTCGGGTCGGTAAATGCACATTTTAATTATTTTTTTTTTTTTGATCTAATCAAAGACAAATTATTTATGTCAATATTATAATATTTATTTATGATTGATAAATTTTTTATGACTTAATTGCAAGAGTTACACACGTTTTTACCGACATATATCTAAGTCTTTGGTCCAATATATACCGTTTTTTTTGTTGAATCAAGTATTATTATAAAGAAATGAATGACGAGGTTCAAATTCATAATCTTAAAGTTCAACAACGAGAATGGTGATCATTACGTCAATCGCTAACTTTAGTTTAATTTATACTTTTTTTTTTTTGCTCGTGAAAAAAATGGGTGGGAATAAGGAAAAGAGCGTCCAGCGACCACCCCAATAGACCCTCATCAGTGGAATCATAAGGGCCCTGACGGTGCTTGAAACATATTTCGGGACCAAACCTAGTTAGGTTAACATAATAATCAACCACCAAATCCCAATGGAGACTCCAAAACTCGAACTCTCAACCTCAAGATGAGGAATAAGATCGATATCTCACTAGATCATCCTACTTGTAATCGGATAAAATTAAATTTGCACTTGTAATATTGATCGTGTGTATTAGTGTCATTTATTTGAGTTCGTGTCAATTGTATTTTTTTTCCGATCTGAATGTTAAGACTAATGTTATTGGAACTTAAACATTTGAATTGATTTATGAACATAATAATATTTTGAGTGATGGAGTCTCAATAAAAATATCTAAGAGTTATATTGATAATAATACTATTGAATTATGCCACTGCCGTATCATTATATTAACTAATTAAATTATTTAATGTTGGATTGGTTGTGTTTGTGTTGAATTATTAAATGGGGGCATACTTGGTTTCACTTGGCCTACAAGGGATCGTGCAACAAATACCATTCCAACTGTTCCTTGTGAGTTGTTTATTCTGTGGACCGAGTATTTTTTTTTTGTGTTTGGTAGATGGACGGGACTTAGTTTTCGAGTAGATGAGCCATATTGATCGGGACATCAAATAAAAATATGGTTGGGAAGTTCAAATCCCTCGCCACTTCAGAGCATGCGTGATTGTCAAAAAAAAATATTTATATGATAGTATTATTAATATAATATCACTAATTAATAATGTGTAAACAAATAAAAAAAATGGATTCCACAAAAACTAATTAGAGCATCTTCAATCCTTATATTTTTTTAATTTAAATTTAAATTTAGGTAAAAAAAACTCTTAAAAAACTTCTCTAATATTAGACTCGTATTCATATCAAATGATGGGAGACTCTTTTTTTTTTTGTTTTTTAACTCAAATCAAAAGAGATTCAAATTCATACTCAAATCTTTAATAGTGAGATTACGCACTCTTTTAAAAGATTTAATTTTTATATTTTATCTTCTTTTAAATTTAAGTTTCTCAATTGGAAATGTTTATACCAAATTAATATTTTTATCTTTTTTTTTTATTCAAATTTGGATAATGGTTTGCGTTTCCACTAGAGATGGTCTTACATGTCAATGTAAGTCAAGTAATTATTTAAGTGAGATTCACTTTATCCGTTTGAAATTTTATTATTGATTGATGATATCATATCATCAATGTTAATATGATATCGCCGTTACATTTAATATTTTTCAATGATTGTGAGGCCTCACCTCGAGAGCATAAATAGAAGAATTTTGTCGGTTCACAAAACTTAGGAAAATATTAAAACTCCCAAAAAACAATAAGTTTCATAACAAAAATGGTAAGTGAAAAAAAGAAAGGAAGTGCACCCAAAAATTAATAAAATAGTAAGTACTTATACGGTACTGATTTTTTTTTCTAGTGCTGTTGTCAAACCCTAAAGTTTAATGCTACATGAAGATTTTCTAGTAAGTTTAATGCTACGTGAAGTTTAATGCTAAAGTTTTTTTCTAGTAAGTACATTACATGAAGATTAATGCTATAAAATTTAAATAAAATTTAAAAAATTATAATTTAAATATATATTATTTTTTAAATGAGTAAATTTCATCAATTTTTTCAGTAAAATCTATTCATCCTACGCTCATTCGGAATAATATATATTTGGATTTTTTATCTCATCTTTATTCAGCTTTGGTTACTCCGATTAGACTTGGTGCTGGCCCTGAAAAATACTTCAAGACCCGAGTGAATAGTCCATCGCTTCCACGTACATAGACAACGGATCGGGCCAACCCTCAATTGATGAGAGACAACATTTGGCTTGTTCACCAAATGTATTGGAGTTTTTCATGGTATTGTTTGGTGTAATTATCTACGTCTTAAAAACACGAATATGACGTTTTGCGTTTGGTAACCACAATTTTTTTTTTTTTTCAATTTTTGGAAGAAATGAAAATAAAAATATGTTTGATAAATATTTTCATTTTTTTTTTGATCCGTTTTGAAAACAATACTAGTTTTTAAAAATATTCAAAATGATGTTATTGAAACAATTCAAAAATTTTTTTTTCAAACAATTCGGGGGTGGGGGTTGAGTGGTTTCAGGGTGGGTTTTTTGGGGGTAAGGGGCTTTAGCGTGGGTTTTTGACTAATAAATATGTTTCATATTTTTAATTTTTATCATAGAAAAAATAAAAATCTATTTTTTTAAAAATAAAAACATAAAAATAAAAATATTATCAACCGCACAATTAACTTGAATAATTGGTAAAAAATGTAATTTAACATTGGTTGGAGAGCTTGATAGTGAAAAAGGAAAGATTTGGGCTTCTATTTATAAAAATTTTTAGTGCTATAATAATTTAACCAAAAACTCAAAAACTCCGATTTAAATAAAAGTTGAAAAAATTTCAACAACAACACACTTTCTAATTTATTTTATCTTCAAATACACTCTCTCTATTTTTTTGAAGCTTCATTGACACTCCTATCTGATAACTAAAATATAATTTTACTAATTATTTATGATATATTTCAAAAAAAAAATTCATTCACATCTTTTCTAAATAGTCACATATTCAATGAAACATTCTCTATTTTGTGTTTTTTTTTATATATTAAAATTTGAATCGATTAAAATTCATTTTAATCAAATCAAATTTTAATCAACTTACATTGAATTCTAATCAGCTCAAATTTTGATACTTAAAAAAATATAAATTTTAGACTCAAATTTTAATATGTAAAACATGAATATTAATTAAATTAAATAAAATTTTAATAAGTAAAAAAATATAACTTTTAATCGACTTGAATCGAATCGAATTTTAATCGGCATTAATAATTCAGGTTGAGCTTAAATCAGTTCCAATTTTAATACGTCAAAAAACAATTTAATTGTTTCAAATTTTAATAGATAAGAAAAAAAAATTTAAACAGATCAAATTGAATTTTAATCGACTCATACTTTAATACGTAGAAAAACGAACTTTAATATGTAAAAAAAATTTAATCGACTCAAATTTTTATCAAATTTTATGTGAAAAAATTATTTAGAGTTTATGTAGGGGCAATTTTAGTATGTTAGATGATTTTTTTTTTTGTTTTAAATGGTGATTTAACAATAGGGAGTGTCAGTGATATTTAAATATAAACTAAAAATAATGTCAATAATGTTTTGAATAATAAAAAGAATATTCTTGAAGATATTATAAAATAGAAAAGGTATGACTAAATTTTTTTAAAAAAAGTTTTAACGGACTAGGCCAGGCCTGCACATTAGGCCTACGGGACAAGAAATAAGGCCCATGGACCTAGTCTTCCGTGTAACGGGCCACCAGGGGTCCCTTCTTCCGTCAAGCGGATGAGGATCGACCCGCCTAAATCACATCCTAGACTCGTGGAACTACTCAAACGCAACATCAAACACGGACACAGCGAATCTTCTCCACTTTTCTTTCTGCCACCCAAACTCATAGGCGGCGATGGGTTACTCTACGGTCCCCATCGCCTCCTCATGAGATTCAAATTCTACTCGTCCTCCTCCTCATCTTTCTCTCTCTTCAAGCAACCCAACCCGAAGCCTTCCGTCTCACCTCTCAACGCATTCATGGCCACCTCTTCCGTTGCTCAAACCCTAAATCTTTCTTCTCCCCCCTCGCAAAACCTTGACGGCGAGGATGACCTTCTCTGCTCCGAAAGCACCCAATTATCAGAGCAACCAGATGATTATGAACAACAACGGTTGTCTATTTTGCACAGTCCGAGTGGGTACTTAAGCGAAGATTCACGGATCGAGGGAGCCTGGGCTCACTGGAAGAAGCTTGGCCAGCCCAAGCTGATTGTTGCTCCAATGGTCGACAACTCGGAGCTTCCTTTCCGATTGCTATGTCGCAAGTACGGTGCCGAAGCTGCTTATACGCCCATGCTTCACTCTCGTATTTTCACCGAGAATGAGAAGTATCGGTCTCTAGAATTCACCACCTGCAAGGTATTTGCTTCTTCTTGCTCTGCTGGGGTGTGTGTGTGTGTGTGATTTTATTTTCATTACTGCATCATTTGCTTAGTTTAGACTTGGAATTGTAATGAGAGAATTCTAGAAGTAGGAATTAGAAGCATGAATTGCTACTCAGTGGGATTAATGTACAATTTGGCAGGAGGATCGCCCACTTTTTGTCCAATTCTGTGCAAATGATCCAGATACTTTATTGGAAGCAGCTCGGAGAGTAGAACCTTATTGTGATTATGTGGACATTAATTTGGGGTAACAATCTCTATCATTTGATGAGCAGTGTTTCAATTTAAGCTTTTGCAAGATATTGTTCTCATTTCATGGCGGCTCTGTGTATATTATGTAAGTCACATGTTTACCACTTGAAGGTTTGTCCCCAATTGAAAATATCCGAAAAGGCTGGTGTCTGTGTATTGTTGGGCACAAATTTCACAGTTCACACTTGATTTTTGCCAGACCTTCCTAGTACAGTATGCTATATTATCTTTATTTTCTATGGTTAACAGCAAACTATAGTGTGGTCAGGGATGATGACTGATGTGCTTGTTTCTTTTATCTTGTATCTTTACCTCTTTTTAGGTTACCGTCTAAAACCTTTCACCACCATTTGTTTTTTCCGTAATGTGCTCTCCTTGTTCCTAGCAGCCAAGTTTATGCAATGAATCATATTAATTAATAACTTGTCACCTAATATAGTAGATGAGCTAAAATATTGTAATATAAATTTGATTGGTATACAGACAAATGTGTTGGCCTGTTATGGGGTGATGGCATGAAAATTACTTTTGAGCCATCACTAAATCTCATTAAACTTGTCTTATACCATGGCTTCACCTTTTTCCATGAAATATTGTGCAATTAAAAAGAAATAACATAAAATCAATCAGCAGAAAATAGTCCTAGCTTTCAAATTGGATTGTATGTATTTGATTGTTCTTGAACAGACTATAATAAACTGTGACAAACCTTGTGCTGCGGAAAGCTCAAGAATGATTAAAGACTTGGGAACGAACCTTACTTATTGCAAAATGAGTCTCTGTATTATGGAAATTTAGGAAAAATAATTTCTTAAACTTGAACTTTGGAATATAAATAATGAAATCCATGGATTTTATATATCAACCAATATATGGATGCCTCCCTTAATATATTCAATACTGTTATCTGTCCAAGTAGGTGGGTATATATGTGTATATCCAGATAAAGACCATTGATGATTTTTTTTACCACTGATAATCATGTAATAAAAAATGTCCACTGTTAGATAATATCATCATTTTTTTTTGTTTATATGAGGTATAGTATTTCCAATAGTTACTTCATTTTTTGAATACTAATATGTGTGGTTTACATGAATTGAGACTTTAGGAATACTCGGCTTGTTTGCAATGTATTATCATGTGCTACACTGCTTTTTGTCCACACTTTGCTAGCATTGTTTAGTTGACACTTGCCCTGTACAAAGCTGTAAGTTTTGTAGCACTCTTAGATTTTTGTTTCCATTCTAACTTGTATGGTGCATCTGAATGTCATTGTATTATTGTAGTTTCATGAACATAACATCTCTTCATGTGCTTCTGAGTAAGAAATTCAATAGCTCTTTTTGTTTTTTCATGTGCTTTGTGCAGGTGTCCTCAGCGTATTGCCAGAAGGGGGAACTATGGAGCTTTCCTTATGGATAAACTTCCACTTGTTAGGAATTTGGTAGAAAAATTGGCTCTGAATCTTAATGTTCCTGTGTCATGCAAAATCCGAGTGTTCCCAGACTTGCAAGATACAATTAATTATGCCAGAATGTTGGAGGATGCTGGTTGCTCTCTTTTGGCAGTGCATGGCCGAACAAGAGATGAAAAAGATGGAAAGAAATTCCGGGCCAGCTGGAATACCATCAAGGCTGTTAAAAATGCTGTCAGAATCCCAGTCCTTGCCAATGGAAATATACGACACATGGATGATGTCCAGAACTGTTTGGAGGAGACTGGTGTTGATGGGGTACTTTCAGCAGAGTCTCTTCTTGAGAATCCAGCTCTCTTTGCTGGATTTCGGACTGCTGAATGGGGTTTGGGCAGTGGTGAATACATGGAAGATGGAAAACTAGACCAGGCTGACTTATTGGTAGAGTATTTGAGGCTTTGTGAGAAATATCCTGTCCCCTGGAGAATGATCCGTGCTCATGTGCACAAGATGTTAGGAGACTGGTTCAGGATCCATCCACAAGTAAGGGAGGATCTTAATGCACAATCCAAACTAAGCTTTGAATTTCTCTATGATATGGTTGGGCGACTAAGGGAGCTTGGTTTGAGGATTCCTCTTTATGTGGAGAGCACTCAGGTAGGGAGAATGTCTGCAAATGGAATTGTTACATGAATTTTGTAGTACACTGTGTGTGAGGAACAGCTGCAAGAGCCTGCAGTGGGGATCTGTGGCAACTTGGAGCCCGTGATCCCAAAAGCATGTTCAAGTGAATCCATGATTTTTGGCTTGTCATTCTTTTGGTACAAGAAACATTTTATTGTCAGCTCTTGATACCTAACTAATTTAACAGAGACAGTAGAGGTGTATCATGTATGGGGTAAACAGCAGGTAACCCATATTTCTTAGCACTTTTCATTTGATAAGATTTTTGGTGCTCTTCTCACCCTTGTAGCCTATGTTCAGATTGTTAACTCCAACATTTCCTGAACCAACCCATTGTTTGCTATGAGCAGGTAAGTCATATTTTGTTGTAATTCTATATATCTGAAATAATGAAGCGTATTCCAATTGTGTTTAGTTCTGTATTTTGGTTGCTAAGTGATCGCTTTCATTCAATTTTCCATTAAATCAAGCTAGATGATCTATATTGTTATGAAACTTTAGGGATTCAGTGCAGAGTAGGGAAGTTCATGTTTTATCTTGCCAAGTCTTGGGATGCTTTTAACAGTACATGTGACTTGAGTATCTGTCTGTTTTTTATGACATTGCAAACGAGTCTTTTTCTTGCATGCCTCGGACATGTCCTAATATTATGATCCACAACTTGAATATTTGTGCGTCTGGGTGAAAAAAAACCTATCATTGTAGATTTTTTTTTTTTTTTTGGCTACAAGTGTCCAAGCTTGTGCCGATTATTTCTTCGAAGTCCGAGCCGGTCATTGTAACTCAAGTTAGTTTAAGGACATGTCCCCTTAGGAACAATGGTGGCTGACTGTTAGAGGTGTGGGAAGTATCAAACTTAGGTAGGATTATTGACCATGGACTACCTTTAAGGGTTATCATTAGATCTTGAATGACAAAGTTTTAGTGTTTAATATTGAGTTTCTAAGTTCCTAGTCGTGCAAAACATATCTTACTTGATCAAATATGCAAGTTCATGCTGTAGTTATGAGTCCAAAGAATGAATTGTTAAGACTCTAGCCAATTATATATATAAATAATTAAATATATAAAATCCTCAAAATGACAAACAATTCCATTTCATCCAGGGAAAATAAAGTTTACCATTCCCAAAAGAATTATTTTTACATGCCCTCACTCATCATAAGAAAAACCTGAAAACATTTAATATATCATAAATAACCAAATTTACTTCTTTATAACATTGACCCAAAAAGGAGTATAATTTGGTGATGGTAACTACGATTAGGACGAAGAAGTCATCATCCTATGATGATGAATGGCTGCGACAGAACTGGAAGCTATTAGCATCCATTTTTTCCAGGACAAAATGCCCAAGCAAATCTTTAGACTTCACCAAATTCTCTTTGCACAAGAACTCATCACTGGAAGCTCTCTCCGCCTCTGCATTGAAATCATGCACAAAAACGTGTGTTTTTGGGTTGCCACCATTTTTGCTCCTTGCAAGCACGCCGGCGGTGAAGATGGCCGACATACGACCGGGTTGGTCTGGTGCGTACCCTCGTGGTCCGTCGACCAATATAACATCCCAATCCACATCGTAGAATTGGTTAGGTAGGTCGTTAAGTCCAAGCTTGCATTCAGAAAACAATAGGTTTTGTACTGGCCTGCACTCATTGTGTACCTGTGCTCTTGCTGATGCTATAAGTTCCTTCATTTCTCTCAATTTGGTCGTGTACTGCACATCATAAGCTTCAATCTCTGGGTATTTTTCCTCCATGTATGCAGCGTAATACCGGTTTTCGTCAATGAAAACAGTACGGCCATGCTGGTTGAGGGCTTTCCAGAGAAGGGTTTCGTGGGTAAGGCCGAAAACGAGGAAGTTACAGGGAGATGAGCATTGCCGGAGGACGTCAGAGATTTGTTTGATATCGGTGTATGACATGCGGTGGGTGTGGTTGGAGTTTGAAGCGTAGTGGACAAGGGCCTTGACCACAGTTTTTGATAAGGGAGGATTCCAGGAGCCGGTAGCGGCCAACGCAGCTGTGTGGGTGGTTGTGGTGATGGATTCTCTAGTGTAGATGAGGGTGAGAAGGAAGGCTAGAGTGAAAAATGAAATGAAAGCTAGAAGCCATAGACGATTGGAGCTTCCTTGCTTTTGGATGTAGGGATGGAGAAGGATAAGCTTTGTGCCGTTGTTGACATTGTTCTTCATCTTTGTCTGTGTTTGTGTGAGAGAGAGAGAGAGAGAGAGAGAGTTCCTCTATGGTTTTGAAGTCCTGGGATGGTTGAGAAAGAGGGTGTGATTTAAAGAGACGCAAAGTCCCAAGGCCCCCAAGTCCCTAAGCAAAGAGAAGATTGAAGCAATAGGCTATTGGCAAATGTGAATGTGACATTACAATGACACCAACACGATTATGAGAACCTAACCATATTGACACCTGAGCCACACAAAGTGTGATTGACCATTCAAATATTCTCTCTCCTGTCACTTAACACACTGCCGTTAATATGTATGAATTGATTCAATTGTTGAACAAGAGATAGGGACATACAGTCACAGTTTGAATTTCACTGATCCCATAAAATTCGAATTTTATACAAGTAATTATGTGAATTTGAGTTTTACATTGCTTAATCAAATTTAAAAAGAGACTGTGATTGGCCTTGTTACCCGAAAAATAATACTTTGATCATATTGATGCAAGTAGATGTCCAATTTGATGAGGTGCTTGTGGGAGGATAGAAGGGGTGGTTGGACTTGAGCTGGTGGAGGGGAAGTGAGGTATTTGGTGTGGCCTTGCAACTAATTACAAGTCAGAAGTCGCTTTTCCTTCTTCAACTCATATTTTATTTCTCACGTAACCTCTCTCTATTCTACATATAGATTCTTATTACTTAAGAGACAAATCAACTAATTCAGATTCCATTAGCAGATTAACTTAAAAAAATGGAGTCCAAAACCATATATATGGAAACTTTGTTCCGTAATTTCTAGTGTGTGTTTTTTATATAAACTATTGGATCATGATCTAATGATTACCAAATAAAAACGCCCAAAATTAATTGTTAAGACCTACCCAATTTTGTTCCATAGGATACATGACCGAGTGTACATCAGCTTCTGTTTGTTAATGATCAGCTGCTAAATCCATACAACTATTCTTTCAAGTCATCAAGTCTATAGCTAGATTATAATATCTACTAAATTTTATAGAAGTGAGTCTCCCTAAATGTACTTGTTTGAAGATAAGTTTTGTAAAAAAATTTATAAGGGGTTAAGTTCATGTTTAAAATTATATGTATTGACTTAAGTTCACTTTTTTTTATCTCAAAAATACCCTTCATTAAAAGGAAATTAATTTTTCTTCTCTCATATCTATCTATATCCATATATAGGTTAAAAGTTTGACTAACATTAAAATTTTTTCTCTCTTATCTATCTATATCCAGATATATATATATAGTAACATAAAAAAAGATAGTAACATTTAAATACAAAAAAAAAAGTTACTATGAATTTGAATAGTAAAATTAAAATTGATGTTACTATGTTTTTTATTATGTTATTGTTCATGTTACTGCTTTTGTTGAGTATGTTACTGTTCATGTACTATTATTTTTGAGCATGTTACTATTTTTGTTGATCATATTACTACTATTATTTTTCTAAAAATTAATATTCAATGTTACTATTTTTTTTAATATTACTATTTTTTATATTTGAATGATATTATTTTTTGCGTTTGAATTTGAGAGAAATAATTATTATTAAGTAGGTTATAGTTTTTGTTAAGCATGTTACTATTTTTGTTGAACATGCTAATATTTTTGTTGAGCATGTTACTGTTGTTATTTTTAAAAAATATTAATATTGAATGTTTCAATTTTTTTTATGTTTAAATATTACTGTTTTTTTGTGTTTTGTATTATTTTTTTTGTTCAAATGATAATTTTTTTTTGTATTTGAATGTTACTATTTTATATTTTTAATGTTACTATCTATATAATAAAACATGAGTGTGTTTGAATTTTGTCTTAGTCATATTTTCCTCCTCAAAACTATCATCAATCACTTACCTCACCCATCGTTCTTTTGTCAAACTCAAACGTCAAATCGCATCACTCTTTTCTATCACATATTTAATTATTTATATATTTCTTCCTTAAAAATATTACACCACTAATTTCTATCATATATTTAATCTATATAATAAAACAGGAGTGTGTTTGAATTTTGTTCCAGTCATATTTTCCTTCTCAAAACTATCATCAATCACTTACCTCACCTATCGTCCTTTTGTCAAATTCAAACGTCAAATCGCATCACTCTTTTCTATCACATATTTAATTATTTATATATTTCTTCCTTAAAAATATTACACCACTCATTTCTATCATATATTTGATTAATTTGTAATTAATGTATTTTGAAAAAATTTAATATAGTGTGATCAATTTTTTAGACGCTCAAATTTTATATTTTATCGTGCCTTTAGACACGGGTTATAACTACTCTATATATATATAGATAAGAAAGAGGAAAAAATTTAATGTTAGTTAAACTTTGAACCTATATATGGATATAGATAGATATAAGAGAGAAAAAAATTTAATATTAGTCAAACTCCTAAGATTTAGGAGTTTTTAATTTTTAGTTTTATTTCACTTCTAAAGGGAAGAGACAGTATGGTAAAATTGGCAAAAAACGAATTTCATAACAAATAAGTTTCCTTGACGGACTTAAATCCAAACAAGTTCATATAAGGGACTGACCTCCAAATTTTTCAATTTTATATAAAATGTAGATACACCCAGACGTTCACTTATTTTCATTTTTTTCTTTCACCAATATAGACTAGAGCACACATGTTTTTGGAAGAGAGCTTTACATTCAAGGGTCCTTTGAATGACCAATGAGTGATGAATGCTTAAAACTCGGCATAAAATTTTCCCATGTTGAAAATCATAGAATGTGCATTGGCGATTTCTTACAATGGGTTGAGATATCGATCTTTTATATAAACTCGAATGGTGAACTTGAAAACACTTAACAAAGTCAGCAAAGGGGTCCGGTATGTACCCAATTAATCCCTTCCGATATTTAAGTCAGTCGACGCTCTAGTGGAAAGGAGTTTTGTACAACATGTGGTAAATCCTCAAAAGCAGTGATGCCTCTCATACTTAGAGTCCCATCCCCGCATTTAGTAGCCTGGGTTCACCTTTTCGCAAACAAGGCAGTGCAGGATAGAGCTTCAACTGAATCTTCTCATACTGTGGCTCTTCCCCTTCAAGGGAAATTTGTGCTTCTACATGATCAGTAAGGGATTAGAGTGGTGAGGAAGAAGACAATTCTTGTTTGATTGAATTCTTTTGATGTATTTTGATTTCATTAGTTGGCTTTGTAAATTCTGTGGACATGCAGAATTATATTTTTTTTTTGTAAATGGTTTTCCAAGATGAAATAAAATGGTGGGAATTTTTCATAATGAATAGCTGTTAGGTCTCATTGGGAGCTCCTGAGGGCTCCTCCTCGGTCTATCTGCTATTAATGCAAGGCAATGGTGATCGTCTCTCACATTGTTTGAGGATTGGACAATCATTAATGGTCTGTCATTTTATCGTGACCCTCAACCGGTCTTATCGTATTTAATATTTGACAACAATAAGAATGGTGCTCAGTCCCAAGTGTTTTACTCTATCGGTATGACTTGGGATCTGATTTACACGCGCCTCAACAATTGTTTCAGCCATGTGATANTGAGGATTGGACAATCATTAATGGTCTGTCATTTTATCGTGACCCTCATTAAAGACCGGTCTTATCGTATTTAATATTTGACAACAATAGGAATGGTGCTCGGTCCCAAGTGTTTTACTCTATTGGTATGACTTGGGATCTGATTTACACGCGCCTCAACAATTGTTTCAGCCATGTGATAGATTATTATTGGCTAACCGCATAACGTCCCGTCAAAATGAGACGATAAGAATCAATTGATATTGTATTGACATGTCAAGGACAATTTTAGAATTTAAAGTGAATAAAAATGGGATGGATATAGCTGGACTAAGAGCAACTACAAAGGGGAGTGGTATGAAGGGTGGTAACCCTGCCAAAATGTCACCTCAAGTTTAATATTTTTCACTCCAAAGAAGTGATATCAAGGATTAAAAAATGACACCAATGCTCTCGGGGCAACAATTTTCCAAACTCTTGAGAGAAAAAGAGAGAGATTGCTAAAAAATTTGCCAAATTCAATATAATATATAAATTTAATTATATTTTTTTATAAAAAATATTAAAATGACACATATCATTAGAACAAATTTATAATTCAGGGATATTAAAACACTATTTAAGATTATAAATAGGTAATTTGACACCCCAAAATAAAAACTCTCTATGGAGTTACTATAAAACCTGCCCANGAGTGGTATGAAGGGTAGTAACCCAAAATGTCACCTCAAGTTTAATATTTTTTACTCCAACAGAGTGATATCAAGGATTAAAAAATGACACCAATGCTCTTGGGGCGACAATTTTTCAAACTCTTGAGAGAAAAAAAGAGAGATTGCAAAAAAATTTGCCAAATTGAATATAATATATAAATTTAATTATATTTTTTTATAAAAAATATTAAAATATTAAAATGACACATATCATTGGAACAAATTTATAATTCAGGGATGTTAAAACACTATTTAAGATTATAAATCGGTAATTTGACACCCCAAAATAAAAACTCTCTATGGAGTTACTATAAAACCTGCCCACTATGTCGATTGTAATGGGTCTTTAGCATGCATGTTATCTGTCGAGCTACTTCTAATTGTTGAATTTTTTTTTTCAAACACCAATTATTTGTGGGAACCACGGTAGATTTTGCAATCCTTAAACTGATCCCAAATGATTGACTCAGAGACAAAGACAAATTGTCTTCCACAGCCCACAGAAACAAAATAGAGCTTGACAACCCATGGACGGACCAATGTTAGGGTCAAATTTGTTTAAGCATTTTCTATTATNCAAACACCAATTATTTGTGGGAACCACGGTAGATTTTGCAATCCTTAAACTGATCCCATATGATTGACTCAGAGACAAAGACAAATTGTCTTCCACAGCCCACAGAAACAAAATAGAGCTCGACAACCCATGGACGGACCAATGTTAGGGTCAAATTTGTTTAAGCATTTTCTATTATTTTGTTTCGTGTGCTTTATTTCATGGGTTGATAGATATATTGATATAAGAAATTTTGATGTGTTTATAACAGAAAATTTAATATAAAACTAAAATATATGATAGAAATTAAAATAGTTATCAAACTTGTTTTTTATTTTAATTTTCAGTTTTTTTAAAACAAAAATTGCAACTAAAAATATTTTCTGTTTTAATTTTTTATCACAAAAAAAAATAAAAATTAATTCTATTTTTATTTTTTTAAAAAATATAAAAACAAAAATATTACTAAACGTGTCGTTAATGTAAGGGTCTATGGGCCAAGTTTTCCCGTCACATCATGATATACCACCGG